CCTGTCACACACAGAGCTGCAGGGCGATCAGGGGGTTGGGGAGCTCCCCCCTATCAGGCACAGAGCAGGGCGGATCAGAGGGTTGGGGCGCCTTCCCCTGTCACGAACAGAGCAGGGCAGTTAGGGAGGTTGTGGCCCCGCCCCCTGTCAAACACAGAGCCGAAGGGCAATCAGGGGGTTTGGGCGCTGCCCCCTGTCACGCTGATCCCGGTGCCGGGAGGCCTCGTGGCTCCCCTGATCCTGGTGCTGGGAGGCATATTACCCTTTTACTATATAGAATAGAGGCCTGGTGCACGGGTGGGGGCCGGCTGGTTTGCCCTGAAGGTGTCCTGGATCAGGGTGGAGGTCCCCACTGGGGTCCCTGGCCAGTCTGGCTGAGGGGCTGAGGGCCGTTTTCAGGCTGGCGGGTGATTGAAGCTCCCAACCGCTCCTTTTTTTCTTTTTATTCTGGGCCAGCTTTAGCTCTGAGGCCTCGGCTGCTGAAAGCAGGTTTCTGGCCCTTGTTTACCTTCTGTATTTGATACAATGTTGCGGTCCGGCTGGCTGAAGCCTGGCTGACTAACGCAGGTTTCTGGGGTTTTGTTTAGCTTCTATATTTGCAACACAGTTGCTTAGAGTTGCAGCTGAGAGGCCGGCAATTCAGGCAGGGAACGTTGGAGTCCGCAGTCACTGGAGCAAGCAAGCCTCCCTGTTTGCTTCAGTGCATGGCTGCCGGCCGCCATCTTGGCTGTCAGTTAATTTGCATATCGCCCTGATTAGCCAATGGGAAGGGTAGCAGATGTATGGCTATGTTTCTCTTTTATTAGATAGGATAACCATCCATCTCTCTCTCCTCTCTCTCTCTCTCTCTCTCTCTCTCTCTCTCTCTCTCTCTCAGCCCAGAGCCTGCATGTGAAGTATGAGGTAGGGAAAACAAAGCAGGTATTTTGTTGGGGCTACCTCCTTCTTGGCCCTGCCACCCACCCTTTTCTCCTTCTTGAGGTTTATTTTCCTTGGTGGGCACTGCCCTGTGCAAGGCCAAGTTAAAGTGTCTGAAAAAGTTGAGTTGATGATTTAGCACCAAGTTCTTACCCAAACAGATGTCAGTGTTATCTGTATAACAAAGACAACAAACCTAAGGATTGAAGTTATAGATGGCTTCCAACCATTCCTCTCCTATTCTCTCTGAGGTCATGCTTCTGCAGAGGCAGTCCACAGTCACTCTAACCTAACGTGAGCTCCCTTCATTTTCCTTCCTCCTCGCCTGATTAGGGAGACACAAACTTCCTGAGGGGCAGCCTCTGTTGCGAGCCAATTCCTCCCCTGAAGCTCAGAGGAAAGGTATTTGTTTTAGTACAGAAGAAAGAAAATAGAACTGAATTTAAAATGAGCAATCCATTAAAGTTAATTTATGATTAACAATAAACTTAACAAAGATCTACAAATAGGAAGAAACCCTTTATCACAACAACCATACACTATCACTAAAAGCACAAAAGAGACAGGGAAAGTTTATGATGAATGATTTGGGGGGAAGGGAGGAGCAGAGATCAAGATTTTGTAACCAGCCTTTTATATTTTTAAATATATCAAATTATAAATTATAAATGTTAATATATAATCCTATAAAGTATATCAGGACAACAATGTTTATTACTAAGAATTATGAACATGGTAGTTTTAATTCTTAATCAAAAGAAAAATGAGGTTATTTTTCATTTGCTTTATCACGGTCATCTGTTCTTTTTGACAGTATTTTCACAACTTGCTTCTAAGGACCTAGCATGGGGTCAATTTAATAAAAATGATTCTGTATCAGTAAACCTTGAGAAGTATTATGATTTTAAAACATAGTCAAAAAGAATCTTCAGAGCAGAAATGCTAAAGTGCTCTATTGTGGATACTTAACAGTAAGTTTTTGGGTTTATTTACTATTCTGCTCACAAAGTATTTCAACAGTGTTTGAACTGAACAGTATTATTAAGAAAGTAAAACATACCCACATAATCAGTAACTATTCTTTGGTTGATAAAACATACCATCATTAAAATTTGGAGTAAAAAACCAATTTCCTAGTTCTTAAATTATTAACTAAATTAAAAATTGTAATACCTTCACACAAACTAATATAGCTATTTTAAAGACTAGTATATTTGAATGCTATTTATGATCTGTTAAAAGTAACTATATTCTTTCATATTACAATGAGCTTAAAAAAGTGTAACACATTTTAAGTCAAAAGTCACTGAAACCCAAAGAAAAAGTCCACAGAAAAACCTAGTTGGTATTTTTTTTCAGGCAATAAGTTAATAATATATTTTGGTATTGTGACTATAAAACTATAATACTAATTATTTTTAAAATCAGAGCTTCCTGTATACTTGCACTGAAGAGAGAAATGGGAAGAGGTACTCTAGCTGTAAAGTTCTTTATACAAAGCTTTACTAACCATCAAGTAATAATAATAATCTTTCTATTCATTTGATACCATCAAAACTCCCCCAAAACTCAACCAAAATATACAACAGGTAGAAGAAAAAAAATCTTTGCCTTTGTGATATGTATCTTCTATAAATCTTTGCCTTTGTTATATGTATCTTCTATTTTTAATGGGCTCCTAGGATACCTTTTCCTCATTCTCTAAAACAGTGGCTGGCAAGCTATTTTCACATTGACCCAAAGATAAACAATCTATAGATAACATGAAATTAGTTTTATCAGTCTGGTGAACTGACATTGATGTTTCATTAAATGAATAATATAGCCTACAAATGAATCAAGAATTTCAGTTAAGAAATACTGGTCAATGGAGAAGCACATTTTTTTTCTTTAAACCTGGAAAGGTGATTACCAGTAGTGTACTCTGTTTGAACAAAGTATTTATCGTTACATAATAATACGGGCATTTCAGAGGTCTTTTTTATAAAGGGATTTAACCTGTTATAAAATGGTGAGCCCGTTTCATATCACTCTGAATTAAGAAATAAAAGGTGGCCGAAGCCGGTTTCGCTCAGTGGATGGAGCGTCGGCCTGCGGACTGAGGGGTCCCGGGTTCAATTCCGGTCAAGGGCATGTGCCTGGGTTGCGGGCACATCCCCAGTGGGGGATGTTTCTCTCTCATTGATGTTTCTAGCTCTCTACCTCTCATGTTTCTAGCTCTCTATCTCTCTCCCTTCCTCTCTGTAAAAAATCAATAAAATATATATATATATAAAAAAAAAAGAAAAGAAATAAAAGGTGTCTTTTGTTCATACCTTAAAGTACTAATTCTCCCACTGCAATGCTTCCAGCTTGAATGGGAAAAATTACTAAATGCTAAAAGATGTCAGCAGGTTTTCACCAGAGAGCTCATTGAATATGTATCCCTTTCTCTAAAGTACACCTGAAGTAGAATTTTTCTTTTTTGAGTTAACTTTGGCTCTAGTAGTCAATCAGAGATTGTCAAATAAGTTTCAGAAAAGTTGATCAGATTACTTACTAGTTATGGCCTGAAAATCTGCTTATGCTCTTAGTATAAGTTTTAATTTTGGGTCAACAGTCCTTATTTCTGTTCCTGCTTTGTCCATTGCTCTGTTTGTCTCTGCCCTTTAAGAACTAAGAAGATGCAAGAGCAAGGAATCAACTTCACTTGAAATACCTTAATAATATTTTTAATCAAATCATCCAATTTAAGAATGTTTTTTAGACTTTAAAAATAATTGTTTGGCCTATATGGCCAAAAAGTTTCATTTCTCTCTACATAAGATTTTAGATATGCAAAATTTAAAATACTATTATTTATCTGTAGTAAGACATAAATAGCATTATTTTTTGCTATGTACATATAAAACAGGGGTCCTCTAGCAATTTATGGTAGAAAAGTAACTTTAGGAAAGCAGTATGTCAACACTGATAAGCTAAAGGCACTATACTGCAGAACTTAAAGAAAGATTAAGGGAGAGATTGTTTTTAAAGGATTTATAATAGTGACAGAAAAAAAGTTTAACTAATATGCAAATAAGGCTTTAAGACATCTTTTTAAAGAACTGACAATCAGTACCTTTTTAAATTTTCTTTGTCGTTTTGCTGCAGACTGCCCCTGGGAGTTAGAACAACATTCTGTAAGAAAACATGCATCTACACAGGATGGAGACACCACCTCTGTATAATTTTCTCCCAGTTTACTTTCCACCTGTATGTGTCACATACTTAGAAGGGTCTTGTCTGTGATCAAGATGGCATGCTTTTAAATAAAGCAACATTGCCACTTTGATTTTTTTAAAAATAAAAATGCACTGAAGTGATATTCTTCAGGGTGAATGTTTTTCAACTTATTTCAAAAATTCAGTAGAGCAAAATTCATTAGTTATCAAAACACTTTTGGAAATATTAAATTTAGCTGATAGTCTACAGAGTCTGATTTTTAAGGACATCACAACAATCACATACACCCATGCTCTCATAGAAAAAGCATCATTCAAGTCAAAGAGAAGTAAAATGAACCTTCCCAACTACCAAAAATCATAAACAATGCAAAACTACTGAGGGAAGAGTAATAAATAAATAATGTGCTGGGAAATATAATTAACTTATAGTGTTAGTTTTTTGCTCTCTCTCAAGAAAATCTACCCTGATAAGTAATAACTATAGTTAATCCCAGATGTTTATAATTTCACAACTGCAGCCAGGAAGTAGTAACTATCTCTGAATTGCTAAAAAGCATACATTTAATAACAATGCTCTTCTGTCATACTCATCACAAGGAAGTGGACACTTCAGAAGAGTTATCTGGGTGTGAACATCATCACTGAAGCCTCACTGTTGAAGCCCCATGGAGGAAGTGGTCATGCTACCCAGGAAATGATGTCTACAAGAAAAGACTACTAGTTCTTAAATCAGTGCATCCATGAATTCCAGTACAATTAACAACTCATTCACTTCAAATCATACTAAAGAATATATAAATACATAGTATAAACTGAAATGAGACTCAAGAAATGTCAGGGAAAACAACTTTTCCTAAGCACAAAATTCCCAAGTTATGCCTCTATGACAGCAAATAAATGATCTTTAGCTCAATAGTGACAAGAAATAAGTGTGCTTGTTAATATGTATGAGATCTATTCATCTGATAACAGCATTTCTAGATTCCAGCATTAGATAGTAGGCTTAGCTTGTAAGAACTAATTAACGCTAAAGAGAAATACAAAACTGTAAGAATGACAACTTTTACTAGCACTGAGCTAAAATGATATCACAAAAGGTGACAGAGCTATATAAACACTTCTCTCATAATAAATTTGTAATGAAAAGAGAGAAAAGCTAAGAGTTACTTATTGAACTATAATATTTCTCTAACAACCAGAAAAACGTTTTTAACAAAAAAATCCCATAATTTTGAAATTCCAAAATAAAAGGCAATGCCAAAAGAAACACCTTATAATTATCAACATAATCATATAAAATGTGAACAAGAGAAAGGTCTGTACAGTGTGAAAAATATCGTTAATTAGCAATAATTGTTCTGACTAGTTTTAAGAAGCCACCCATTCATTTAAGCAAAGTTTAAATCAGATGTAAGTTTGACTTAATGGAAAATTCAAGTATATTAGCCATGCAAGGTAGGACAGATTCAGGGCCAGAGTAACTTATACTTGGGAACAAGAATACTAAATATTTTAAAATACAACAAAATATTAATTGATCTCTACTAGAAACTTGGAGGGGTGGGGGGGAACTATACATATTTTGGCCAGGGAGATCTTCTCTTTTACCCATTCTGAAATGTGGAATTAATCCCCATCTTTAAAGAAAGGGAAATTTTAGAATAGGTAATTTCAGTGTAAAAAACAAAACAAAACTAGTACTTACCGCTTTCTTTCCATGTTCAGTCTTTGACAATGTTAAGGATCCTGCAAGGTAGCATCCAGGTCCTGCCCCTTTAGGTATTCTAACAAGAAGATTCAAAAGAGAGAGAAAAAAAGAGAACATTTCACAAAGATAATTAGGAGTGGGGGAAAAGGGGACAAAATCATTACACTCTGAAATAATTTCCATAGCTAAGATTTCAAAAATCAAAGGGACAAATAACCTTAGTATAAAATGGTAAATCACAACATACTATTTTACTAAGGTAATGAACTAACATTAATAGAATATAGTGTGCATGGTGGGCATTAAGTATAAGCAACGACCTCACTTACTTGTCATCAGGTAAGGAAGTAACAAAGAATGGTTGGTTATATTTGGGTGGTAGTGTCAAATTACTCGATTTCTTCTTTCCTAGAAGTGCAAGGCTATGATTTTCATGAATATCTAAGCTCAAGGTATTAGACAACCTATGAGAAACAATAAATGGAAGATCTTTAAGACGTTCCAATTCACTGATCTGCTCATGACGAATCTGTAGACGAATTGTATAATCTCCTTTCTCCAGTTTCATCGAATACTAAAAAAAGAAAAACAACATTTAGAAAAAGTAAAGTTTAGCCAAGTAAACAGAAATTATAGAAAGAGGATAAACAGGAACAGTTACAATTTAGAGTGCTTAACTGCAGATGAGGTACAGCACAAGTTACTACACACACCTATGCATACGCAAAAAAAAAATCTCAATCTTGCACGTGAGCAAGCAGGACCAGGGACATCAGTGAACTGTCCAAGGTCACATACAGAGTAAAGGACAAGGGAGCTGAAGGCAGGTCTGACTCCCAAGCCCTTATTCTTCCAACTACAGGTTACTCCCATAGTCTCAGCTACATCAGTGTGTTCCAGGCTGAGAAAAGCTATTATTTTCTAGTTCATGGTTACTCAAGAATTTATAAAACAACACGCAAAATTAGCAAAATTGAGGTGCTACATAATAACTAAGACACATACACACACACATGCGTATACACATGACTGGTAATCTTTCTATTATAACCAAAATGCCCCATCCCTTTATTGCTGATAGATGCAGCAATCAGAGACTAAGGAATAAAATTTACTATGCTCCACCTAGTTAACCTGTATTCTTCTGATGAGATTTTAAAAGCAACCAAAGTAATGGCTCTGCAACAATCCAGTCTGTACTGGGAGAGATATGACTGGGACTTGCTTTGAGAACAAAAGGAAATCATTCCTTGAATGACTAACAAAAAACCCACCTGCATAAGTTACTGTCATTATTTAGTATAAAATTATAAATGTTATAGGATTTACCTTATATCCTTGTAGAAATATTTCAATCAGGGATAAAATTTCTGTAATTTATGATTAAAAGGTTTTTTTCTTCAATACAATAGTGCAAGCAGAGTGCTTGGCATACAGGAAGTGCTCAATACACAGCTGTCCAATGAAAAGATAAATTTGAAAGTTCTAGGACACTGCTATAGTGCTCTTTATCCAGTTAAAACCTAAGATCATTTCCAGGTGCTCACTTACTAGTATATCAGAAGATTTGCCTTCAACCTTCAGATGGGTGGAAGCAGTGGGTAGGAAGTAGAAAAAAAAACAAAAACAAAACTATGCTGGCCAGTAGTGCCTATGTCATCCTTGCCTTCATCTACCCCCAAACTTAATCAGCTAAACTACATGGCTGAAAGATAGTCCCATTCTGTTCGACAACAGACAACTGAGCTTCTAAAAATACACAACACAAATATTACCATAATGAGAAATCAGGAATTTGTTAATTTTTAAAATCACTGCAAATTTCATACCTGATGTGGATAGGCATCGCCTGAACCCATCTGTCTTTTATTCTGGTCAAAGATGATCCACAGTTGGCTGTCAAATTCTGATTCATATAATAATTCACAAAGTAGTGGGCAGCTTGGAGTTACTTCCCCACTTTTGGGCTATAAAAATAAAGAATTATTACCTGACATGGTTCACATGATTTCTAATGAAGATTTGTAATACTGTTACTGATGAGACTTTTACAACAAAAATATTAAAATTTTTTCTTGAGACAGCCAATTTTTTAAATGTAGAACATCTGGTATTTTGGCACTGATAACAGGTACTTCTCTTTTAAAAATACAAACCTAGCCATTTGTATTAATAAATTAACATGTATTTTCTTTATAAAACTGAAATTTTATATTCACTGAAATCAATCTCCCAATTAAAACCAAATATTATGTTTTAATAAGAGTTTTACTGAAATCTATGGATCCTACATAAACTCTTTTATCCAACATTTATACTGGCCTCAAATACCTTTACCACTCATTCAACCTAGGAATTGTTCTAATGTCTCACTGCTCCAAAGCCTGCTTCACAGAAAGCAAACAGGCTACCTACTACAATACTCTGAAGGCATCTGGCATTGATGAGATACCTAACCACTGGACAGGTAATACTGTCCAGGTACCACTGAATAGATTCACTGATTACAAAAACTAAGGCTCAAAGGCCAGGTCACCACAAACTACAATTTGTGACTTCAGACTTGAATGGTACTTAGATTATTACAAATCATAATTTCCCTAAGAATAATTCCAAATTAAGCACTGTTAATTACTTGATTCTATTTCATATTTACATAGACTAAATTTATCATCCTCCCGTTTTAAATTCTGATTCATTAACAAAACACAAAAGTGCACTGTAAAAGTCTACTTTATTGTAAAGATACTTACTTGATGAAAGTTATAGGTAAGGATCATTTCATAAAGTTGACGATTATTTGGCAAAACATCTCTTGATCCTAAAGGTTTTGTTTTTGCACTCAGTGGGCTGTAATTAGACGATGAGTAGTTATTTGATTCAAGAATTAATTTAATGAGACAAAACTATAATCAACAAAATCAATAACATATCACAAGATACAAATACACATTCCTAAATACTACCCTTTTCAGTATACTTTATAATATTTTAATCAATAACTTACCTAATTCTTTATTGACTGAACCATAACAATACATATTATAAATTTTGCAACATTATAAAGATAATCTTTTCACAATAAAAACATTTTCAAATGACAACTAATAGTCCTTAGTATAATCAGATCCCAATGTTAGATGCTAGAGTGGCAATCACTAACAGTGTTGAAGAACAGGTTTTGATTGCAGGTGGCGCTCACTCCTCACAGAATAGGTCCTGCTGGGTGCACTGAAAATTTTACATACATGCTATACAATGCTAGAAGCTACTGCTGGGGTTGCCTCAGAGACCTGCCAGGATTGAGGCTAGAGTGTCATAAACTGAATTTTCATTTCCAACATTCGGATGGATTTAAGAAAATTACTATCTCTTCAAAGAGTGTAAGATCCTCCTGCCCCCCACCACATTAATATTCAACATCCTTAGCCCTAAAACATTTAATGATACCGTAGTGTTTGGACCCAGCTCTTCAAAGTTATGCAGGGAGCCAGATCTTCATATTTCAAGGAGGACTGAACATCAAAACGGTTGATTCCTTCTGATGCATGCTATGAAGGATATTTATCAAATTAGTTTCTCAAACTTCACTGAAAATAAACTCTATTTTATAACAATATTAAGACCTAAAATAAATGTCTAATGCAAAGTTGGTAAGCACCCATAAACAGGACTACTTTTAAATTACCTGTGGTTATTTTAAGAACTACTGGTAATGTCCCCAATGAAGTATAAATTCAACCAGTGAGATTATTTTTCAATAATACAAACAAATGAATTTAAAAATAATGAAAATGTGGAACTCACAATGTTTAACTGAGGAGCGGTACACACTATCCCATGGAAAGAAATGGTGTAATCAATATTGACATCACTAAGACTAGCCCACCAACGGGCAATGCAGAATTCAATTGCTTTCCCACTCTGCAAAGAAAAATAATTACAAATGTATAAATAATCTCAGATAATGTCAGAACTACATATGCTCAATGTTCTCATTTTATTTCAAATTACAGAATATAAATGATAGATGTTTCAAAGCAATGCTATGCCTTCAAACTTTTCCTACTTGTAAAGCAAGAGAACACAATAACTTTTAACTGTGCTTGGAGTTATGGAAATTACAGTTGCAGGGATATAGTGCAGGCATTTAAATACATACAGTTATTTACTCATAATTCTACACTGCTTGTCATAAAAGATCTGCGGCAGCTTTTGAAAACATATACAATAAAATAATGGTGAAAACAAACTGGAATAAAAACCTAGGACCAAAGGAAAAATAATGATAGGAGAAAGGGTATTACAGCTTTATAAGGCATATTCAATAGCCACAGATTAATTTCAGGCTCCAAGTTGCCTGGCAACCAAAACAAAATGAAATTATGATTACTTAAATTTTCCCCATTAAAATAATGAAAAACAAAAACTTCCCGGTGCTCAGTTTTAAATTACGTTTCCTAGAAATCAGTATATTAAAAAGTTTAAAGATGAATCATGACACTGATACATACTTGAACACAAGTGAAAGTAATCAGAAAAGTAAGATATAGGCAAGATCATATGACCAACTACGGAGCAGGTTCAAGACAGAACGTCAGTACATTCACCTTCCATGGAGGAAGGTCTAATCCAGTGATGGCGAACCTTTTGAGCTCGGCGTGTCAGCATTTTGAAAAACCCTAACTTAACTCTGGTGCCCTGTCACATATAGAAATTTTTTGATATTTGCAACCATAGTAAAACAAAGACTTATATTTTTGATATTTATTTTATATATTTAAATGCCATTTAACAAAGAAAAATCAACCAAAAAAATGAGTTCGAGTGTCACCTCTGACACGCATGTCATAGGTTCGCCATCACTGGTCTAGTCATTATTTCTAACACTATGGGTAAGAATGAAGACCTGCCATATTTGAAGTAGTTTCTGTAAGAAGCAGTAGCAGTTTCACCTAGAAAGCAAATTAACCTCATGGGTAGTAATAAAATAACTTAAGTGATGCATAGAACTGTCTTAAATAAGGAAATAATCTACAGTGGGATAAAGACACACTATCAGTCAGGGTCCCGATGCAAGGCAAGAGTATCTGTCAGACCAGCACTTTCTTTGACTAAATTATTTAAGAGTTAAAAAGAGATTAATTAATATTTACCTCAGACTCAATCTCAAGTATCCTAATTAGATTACTTATCTTCCTACTTCATTTATTTGGCATTAACAAAATAAAGAGCCCAAAAAAACTCTGAATATAAACTATAAAATCAAATTCAAATTCAAATACTTATCCACACCGAAAGGGAAGAGAAATTGTTTCAGGATTTCGAACTATTAATTAAAACTTACTAAGACAGGAAAAGCTTCAGTCAGAGTTCCTTTTTCTGGAAGGGAACAAAACTTATAGAATTCATGGCTTCGATATGCTCTTTGCTTCACAAGTTGTACTGCATGAAGAACAAACTTGGCCAATACCTCAGAAGAACAAGAACACACTGTAACTTCTAAAATAAAAAAGAAGCAAAATTTTATGCTGGTAAGATTCAAAATGGACATAAAATGATTTTAAGAATGCCCACTTATTAGGAAATAATATATCAATAATCAAATTATATATTCAAATGAAATTTGCATATTTTCTTAAAAACAAAGACTCAATAGAGTATTAATAAAGCTGAAAGGGCAGAAGATTCAGCTATGGAAAATAAATAAATCAGGATTAAAATAAACAACCACTATGCTGCAAATACCAGGAAACAGCAAGCTTTCTATAGGTGGACACACAATTATCCTAATCAGACACCTTTTAAAATCCCTCTCCCCTCTGCTAAGCTCAACCTTTCCTCTTCTTTTAGTAGAAAGCCAAGTAATTCCTGATAGAGGATTTTAATTTTAGAAACCTCTATTTTGTCATCATGCTTAAATTCCATTAGTATCTATTCAACTTCATTAATATTTTTTCCTAGTCTCTCCCTCTTGGCTTATTTGTATTCTATTTGCTTCTAGAAGGGATAATGTCAGAACTACATACGCTCAGCTTTATTCCGAGGTAGAGGTAAGCCCAAATCACTGTGAAGCAGGATCAGCAGCTTATCTACTGAATATCCACTCCTATACAGGAAACTAAGCAGGGCTTAATTCTCTGGTTCACAAGGTCAAGTTGGCACAGAGCTCTGTGAACCTAATCAATTGCTAATAATACAAAACCTGATGTTATTAACAGTAAGTTTTATTTGAAATAGGAATCATCTGTAGTACTTTTTTTTCTTTTTGACACCCCCTAGCCCAGTGGCCGGCAAACTGCGGCTCAAGAGCCACATGCGGCTCTTTGGCCCCTTGAGTGTGGCTCTTCCACAAAATACCGACTTCTTCGTATGGGCCACCAAGTTTCGCATTGTATGTGCGCGCCTGCATGTGCGCGCCTGCACGTGGTATTTTGTGGAAGAGCCACACTCAAGGGGCCAAAGAGCCGCATGTGGCTCGCAAGCCGCAGTTTGCCGACCACTGCCCTAGCCCTAGCCCCATCCCTGCCTGAGATCAAATTGACAAATAACATTAAGTTTAAGGCATGCAACCTGAAGATTTGATGTACTTAAACACTATGAAATGTTTACCACAATAAGGTTAGTTAACACACACTATACAGTTACCAATTTTCTCGATAGTAAGAACATTTAAAATCTACTCTCTTAGCAAATTTCAAGTATACAATTCAGTATTGTTAACTACAGTCACCATTAAATCTCTTGAATTTATTCATAGCTGAAAGTTTGTACTCTTCAACCAACATCTCCCCATTTCCTCCACCCTCTGTAGTACATTTCTAATCTGAGACTGTTAAATGCTCTGATCTCTTTACATTCTGAATCATCTGATAACTTTTTATTTAAAAAAAAAACACAACTAATTATTTTCAACACCAGCCTAAACAAGTCACAATTAGGGCATTATAATTACTAACATCTACCATCAAAAAGATTTCAGAATCAGTATTAACTGTAGATTTTTATTCTTTAAAATGATTAGTGTATATTTCATCAGAGCCTAACGTTATATATCTCCAAGGGGCTCTGTCTACATGCATGGCAGCCAGAGTCGTTCAACAATGCAACTCTAACTCCAATCACTAACAGGTAAGGCATTATGCTAAACTAAGTTAAAATCTTGAATATTAAAACATTAAGATGGCCTGATCTGATGTATGAGCCAATGATAAATAATAACAGATCTTTAAAAAGTTTAAAATCTACTAGCAAATCTAGAGTGCCAGATATACCCTGAGTGGCCAGATTATTATGACCACCCCATCAGTACTTCGTTGGGCCACCTTTTGCCTTCAATACTATGGCGATTCCTCTTGGCATGGACTCCACGAGATGTTGAAAGGTGATGCGAGGAATCTGACACCATGCCTGATGAATAGCACTGTCCAGTTCTGTGAGATTTGACAGTTGTGGTACCAGCTGCCTGATGGCTCTTTTAACTTCGTCCCACAAATGCTCAATTGGATTGAGATCTGCTGATTGTGGGGGCCACCTAAGCAAGGTAAAGTCTCCCTCATGTTCTTGAAACCACTCCTGCACAATACGAGCACCGTGGCACGGCGCATTGTCTTGTTGGAAGAAGCCATCTCCATTGGGATACGCCATCAACATGATAGGATGAACTTGATCAGCAACGATACTTAGGTATGTTGTGCTATTCAGACATTTATAATGATCTGGCCCTCTAGTAACTTCAGCGGGAAATTATAGCTAATTTGCCTACAAACGCCAGGTGGTCATAATAATCTGGCCACTCAGTGTATATTGTTATGAGGAAAATATGCATTACAAATACATGAACTTTATATAGCAGGGGTCCTCAAACTTTTTAAAAAGGGGGCCAGTTCACTGTCCCTCAGACCGTTGGAGGGCCGGACTATAGTTTAAAAAAAACTATGAACAAATTCCTATGCACACTGCACATATCTTATTTTGAAGTAAAAAAACAAAATGGGAACAAATACAGTATTTGTATTTGCATGTGCCCCGCGGGCCGTAGTTTGAGGACCCCTGTTATATAGTCATAATCATAAAAGAGATAGAATGTACAGAAAGATAAGTGCTCAATATAGACTTTAGTTTTACTTACCAGCCCATGTTGCACCCTCAGGAACCTCAATAAAATGCCTTCGAATTTGGCCAGGTTTAAAATGTACATCTGTAAAGGCTAGATCATAGTGTGAGGATTCATTTACTCTGAAAATTAATATAAATTATTGATTAAATGTGATACTCTCATAAAAAAAAGGCTTTATATTAATTATAAGCCCACTAGTACTCTAGATTTTAATAGTTCGTTAGAAATTAATACTTAAAGGCTGGTTACAAAACAGTGTGCATAATACAATCTCATTTTTGCAACATATTAGCAGAGATAAACTCTGGCTAGCCCAGTATAAATGATTTTTCTACTTTTTACCTGTCTGCTTTATAATCTATAAGATACACATACACACACATACACACACAATAAGCAAGTTCACTTTTTTCATTAAAGAAATTGTGCTTCATTCACAGAATTTTTCCAATTATCAGAATTTGGGCTATAGAGAGCTCTAAATATTACAACCAAAGGTAATTTTTTATGTCATTGGTACTGATTGTAGCTCTAAGACTACTATTAAATAAACCCCCTTTTGTAGTTTCAAAATGTTTGCAAAGCATGACACAGTAAAGAAAAAAATCTACTTTCATACCATTTTTGTAAGAAGTCAATGAAACATAAAGGTCTAATGTATATTACCCACTATGAAAACCTAAAGTACACACTAAGGACAAATTCTAGTCAGTGTGACAAAAATTTAATGAGAGCCTACTATATAGAAGGCATTGTTATTAGGAGTCCTTTGCCACAAACAATCGAGAGGGGACAGAAAAACCACCTGAGACATTTAATGCAACACGTTCTTGGTAGACAGGAAGTGTTAGAAGAGATTTGGTCCGTGCAAAGGGACCAGGGAAAGCTTCCTGAAGGAGATAATGTCTCAGCTGATGCCTGAATCTTATACATTACTTTGTCTAGGCTCCTGCTGGACTTCTAGAAAACATAAGGTTGAGAACTTAGCTGTCCTGGAATTTTTCATGTGTACGTCACTTTTTACCTCCTCAATTCCATCCTATGTTTCGTATAAGCTGAGACTATTGCACATTTAATATTTACCAGGTAACTAATTCTATATAAAAACTGTTAACTTAGAACTTTCTATTGTTTCCAATACTCACATAATCTCAATCCTGTCCTTATTCTACTCAACTATTTGTTTTGTATAAATACTGTAAAATGGGCTCCATATTGAACATGTAAGATACAGTTCCTGTGTTTTCTTCAGTGGGCTCAGTCAAATGGGTGGGTAAGTGGGTAAATTAAATAAAAAATGACAATATATTCGCTGAAGTCTGTGTTACAGGCATGTAAAAAGCATTAGGAAGCAGCAAGAAGGGCCTCCCTTCCCCTGGGGATGACCAGGAACATGCTTGGTGGTTGAGAAACAGGAAACCGAAGCACAGAAATCAACCCAGTCCTGAGGAAGCCCGGAGTGTCAGCATCTGTGACCTCACGGAATATGATGTATGTAAAATGACAGGAAACACTGGTTTATAAAGGATCCTTGTTTGCTATTTTAAGGAGCACAACTTCGTCCTTGAACATGCCACTGATATATTTAAATGGGAAGCAATATGATCAGCCTTGAATTCCTTGGCTTCAGGTGGAAGACAAGATGGAAAGCGAAGAGTCTGGAAACTGCAGGTGACTGGAAAAGTGGAAGACCCAGGGAGAAAAACAGTAATCCCAGAGACAAGGGGATTAAAATGGAGTGGGACCAGAAGAGAATGAAGTCATATATTAATATTTCAGAGGGATTGGGCAAGATGAAGACTAAGAGGTCCTCTGAATCGGGCATGCTGGTGGAAGGCAGTTTCAATGCAGGGGCACAGAACAGATGTCATCACTAATTCTCACAGTGAACAAGGAATAACATGGTTGACTATGTGCCACTTGAACTTTGAGCAAGGAGCAGAACTAAAGCCTGGTTATCTAGTTCTTGCCAATTAACCCTTTAGAAGTTCACATTGTTGTCATAAGTAACCATTAAAAAAAAATTGTTGACCCTTGAACAACATGGGGATAAGGGTGTTGACCCTGTAAGCAGCCAAAAATCCATGTACAACTTTTGATTCCCCCAAAACTTAGTTGTCCCTCAGTAGCCACAGGGGATTGGTTCCAGGACAACCCATGGGGTACCAAAATCTGAAGATGCTTAAGCCCCTGTATAAAATGGTGTAGATTAGAGCAGAGTCAGCCTTCCACACCTGTGGACTCCCAACTACGAATCAAAAACAGTGTAAGTACAGGCATTTATTGAAAAAATTCACAAGTAAGTGAACGCACACAGTTAAAACCTGTGTTGTTCCAGGGTCAGCTGTTACTGTACGGGGAACGTGTTACTTACTTTGATGCTATAACTGCGGTGACTGGAACTCTGAACAGAGGACCTGCATTAGGGGATGCTATATCATAGCCACATACCTAAAAAACAGCATGTTCATGTTTCAGTATCCATAAATTAAACAAAGAAAAAAGGAAAAAGTGTAATCTATTCATAGAATAAATTAATCTAATATGAAAATTTAAAGGTCTTAAGCACAAGTTGATTAATTTTCTGCTTCAGGTCACATGATTAATGGCAAATAGCCTAAATAAATACATGCAGGACAACCCTTGTCTAATTCACACTAATGGGGAAAAGGACTGCCACATAAAGTACTTTTAAACATTTTAAAGGTAAAGAAAGTTTAAAATAAATGAAGCTACCCCAATACCTCTGTATAATGTAATCCTTCTCTTAAGCCCCGGGGATCCACACGTATGTTTATATGTCTACATTGATTCATGAGTTCCAAATGGCTAGGACACTGAACCCAAGATGAGTTTGAAGTTAAAGCTAAATGAAGCTGAAGGGATATTTTTTCAGAGTTTTCTGGCATTAAAGAAAAACAAAAATTAAAGATTAGTACTTTCTCTTTCATTTAAAAAAGTTCAATCTTCTCAAAAAAATTTAGCAAATTTGTAAAAGGCACTAGGCAAAACACAGCTTAAATAAAAATCACAGAATCTTCCTCAAGCTTTAGTTCACTTATAATCCATTCACACTTTCACTCAACACTGCTACAGCCTTAAATTAATATAAGGATTTTGGGTGAATATTTTTCATTACTGCATGTGGAAATGATATTTGATCAACATGAAGACTGTCAAATATACAGTGAGGACTCTTTTGTTTACCTCATTGAGCAGAGGCACTCTTGGCTGCTTCTACTTCCTACTCTGCCTTATACCCAAGTAGTAAAAGTGGAAAAGAAAAGGTATTTGATCATTTATCCACAATTTAATAAAAATGTAGGTAACTGAAGACCCATTTTGCATATTTTCCTGGGTAGTCAGAATGCAAACTGAATTGCCATAGTATTGGAATCCCTAAGTGCCATCATTTTTTCTCTAAAATCTATAATATTTAAAATAATACACTGCCCCTGGCTGTGTGGCTCAACTGGTTGGAGCATCGGTCGTCCCATACACCAAAAGGTTACAGGTTTAATCCCTGATCAGGGCACATTGTTAGGTTACAGGTTTGATTGCTAATCTGGCATGTACAGGAGGCAACTGTTTGATGTTTCACTCTCACCCTGATGTATTTCTCTCTCTCTCTCTCTCTCTCTCTCTCAAAATCAATGAAAACATATCCTTGGGTGAAATAATAATAATAATAATAATAATAATAATAATAATAATAAATATAAGAATAATGACAATATTGTCAATTTATGTTTTCTCTTTAGAACATTAGCCCAAACAGCATTTCTCTATTATGATACTATTCACTTAAATAATAAATGTGAGCACTTTAGCTTACCATCCATTTAGTACTTACCAGTTTTTTCTGGAAATACAGGTTCAATGCCAACACCATGATCTGAAGGTGCCATCACCTGAACAGGATCTCTGAGGTAGATGCCACGGTTATTTCCAACGGTAACAGTGAAACCTAATTTATTAGCAAATGATGTATTCTGAACGAGGTAGTCATAGGCTTTATCAACCTAATTACAAGAACACAGAGAATAAGATATAAATGGTTAGGTCAAGAAAATATTTTGTTGCAAGTTACCAATTTGATTTCACTTGTGGTAAAGTACAAGCAAAAAGTTAATTTCTATATACAGCTCTCTAAAATTAAAAGGACAAGGATACTTTCATAGACAAATTACAGTCTAACTACTGGACTCACCTACCCTACTTTCTTCATTCACATTATTATTCCCAACTGACCAAAGTGAGGAACTCTCCCACATGCCAGTATAATTTACCAGTTTTTGCCCTTTACCTGTTTGCTTTGAATTTCTACCCTCTATATGTTCTACATGTATTATATTTCTCTATCTTACTGCAACAAATTTTGTCTTAACTAAAAAATTTGTTTTCATATCCTCTTTGCTTACAGTTCAGAGACCACTATGATATAATCTAGAATTAGATATACTCATTCATCATTATAACAGGAAATATTATCTAACAAAGCTAAAATATTTTCTCAATGACTTACAACACAGTTTCCATACAAACAACAATACCTGAATAATACCATGTCCTTGGGCAAATACTTCTATATTGTCAGCCTTCACTGCAGTGTTTTCTAGAGCTCTTCTAACTGAATGAACTGTGTAGTTAACATTATTAGCTTTTAGACCTAAAATTTAAAAAGAAAAAAGTGTTAGAGAACTCACTACTTTGAAACCTTTCCCCCTTCACCAGTACAGATAACATGTGCATTCCCTGGTTTTCATGTCTTGTGCTTCAACACTCACTTTTAAATCTTAAAAAAACAAAAACAAAAAACCCACTAAACAATCTAACCAAAACTGCTGGCATCACACAAAGACTTATGTAAGAAAAATGACTGTGTTCCCATTATGCAAGGGCATGAAAACAGGCTATGCAGAGATAATGTAAATGTAAGAAGCATATACCTAAAGGCATTCCAATGACATTTGCTTTAAAACACTGCTGGTCAAACAATACAGGGGTGAGCAAAAGTAGGCTTACAGTTGTGAGTATACAAAACAGTTTATTCTTATATTAGTATTTACTAATCATTCTATTATCTTCCATATGAACAACTGTAAACCTACTTTTGCTACCACTGTATAGTTGCTGGCAGTAGTTTTCAACCTGACTGCATGTAATAAAAACACCAGGAGAACTTAAACAAGCAGAAAAGATGCTGAGGCCTCACCACAGACCAATTAAAGTAGCATCTTTGAGACTAGATCCCAGGCACAAATATGAATTAAAAGCTTCCAGGGTAATGCTAGGGAGCACCCAGGCTGGGAATGACTGTTCTACAGGAAGAATATGGAGGCCACCAATCTGTAAACCCTGCATTAATGCCTGCTGTTAAGGATCAAAGATAAGTAATATAGTATTGCTGCCCTCTCCAGAGCTCAACAAACGTGTAAATTCTTATGATATTGTAAGAAATGAGCAAAACAAACGTGGAAACATCATGCCGCTGTAAGAGCAAATAAGGTGAAGCTCTATCAGAGGGACAAATACATGCACAGGAGTTTGCAAGTCCAAAAAATGGGAGAAAGGAATTCTAGGCAGAGAGCAGTATGACCAAAGGCAGGAGGCATGCGCAAACTTGAAATATTTGGAATATGCATGCTTATAAGCCAAACCAATGGACATGGACAACAGGGGGATGAGAGCATGAGTGGGGGGTGGGGGGGGGAGGATGGGGATTTAATGGGGGGGATGAGGACACATTTGTAATACCTTAATAAAGAATTTAAAAAATATATATTTGGAGAGGTTGAACAGGACTAGTAATAAGGGGAATCCTGGAAATTATATCAGAGGGACACTTCTGAGGTAAAACTGTCACAACAGTCTGGGTACCCTAACTTTGAGTGCTAGTCAATGTCAATGCCACCCTATTTCATGATATAAGCCTCCTGCACAGCATACTAGAAATTCCTACGTCTCTTTCCACTTCACTTTGCTCCACAGAAATATTCATTACCTTCCAATAACGAATACAGACTATTACTTTTTTAAAAAATAATTTTTAAAAAATAGATTCGAGAGAGAGGAAGCGGGGCAGTGGAGAGGGGGGTGGAAAGAAACATTGACTGGTTGCCTCCTGCATGTCTTCCTGAACTTGCAACCTAGGTATGTGACCTAATTGGGGATCAAACATGCCACCTCTTGGTGTACGGACGAGGCTCCTACCAACCGAGCCACACCAACCTGGGTGATAACTATTTAGTATTTTTTTTCATAGGTTATCTCCTCCAACCATAATATAAACTCCACATGGACAGACATTTTTGATGTTTTGTTCACTAATTTAGCCCCTGAGCTAAAAGAATGCTTGATAGTCATTAATAGCCAATAAATAAATCTATTTGTTGAATGGATAATGAATACACAGTCAAATCATTATCATCACATAAATTATTCTCACCTTAAACTTTACTTTGAGTCCCAGAACATTATCAATTCTATCACATTTTCTCACCATAAGAATTTCAGAAAATGAAAACAACTGTCTGTAATCAGGTAAGATAAACTTATTCAATAATCCTCTATAATAAAGAGCTAATATGCTAATTAGACTGGACAGCGAAATTTCCTTCCGAAAAGACCAGTGGGTGGGGGGCGGGGCGGAGAGGCAGCCGGAGGGGAATGAGGGCTAAGCCACTTGCAGGAATTTCGTGCATCAGGCCTCTAGTTTTTTATGTCTATTACCTAAATATTATGCTATAAAAATAAAATTGTCTAGATACTTAATACCTACTTACCTAATCTTATAAATAAACAATACATTTCAGTAGCAGGACTAAGGTAAATTATAAAATAATACATTTAAAATCCATTTTATATGCCATGTCTATCTCATTAAGAAAAGTAATTAGCCCTGGCCATTGTGAACCAGTTGTTAGAGCATAGGACTGCACACTGAAGGGTCTTGGGTTGGATTCCCAGTCAAGGACAGGTACCTGGGTTGCAAGTTCTATCCTGCATGCAAGAGACAACCAAATGATGTGTCTTTCTCACGTTGATCTCTCTCTCCCTCCCTCCCCTCCTTCCATTCTCTAAAAATCAAGGGGAAAAATATCCCTGGGTGAGAATTAACAAAAAAAGGAAGGAAGGAAGGAAGGAAGGAAGGGAGGGAGGGAGGGAGGGAGGGAGGGAGGGAGGGAGGAAATTAAACTGTTTAAAATATATGTGCAATAGCTAAAAATTCACCATCGCTTTACTGGAAATAGTACCACGTAGAGCAGTAAGAAATGTCCTTACCTGAAAGTATCAGGGCGATACCTCCACATGCATTGGGAGAAGACATGGATGTCCCATTCATTAGTTGAGTTCCTCTCAATGTCCAGTTAGGAACAGAAGCAATGGCTCCTCCTGGTGCACTGATACTCACTCCAAGGGCCCCATCAGCACTGAATAAAAGGCCATTAGTTTGCTTACAATGATAATAACTGGATAAATATGGGTGTTCAAATAATTTATAGTATAATCCCGTGGACTACTTGAAATCATTGGAATCAATGGAAAAAATACCCAGCACAACTGTTTCCCCATTGAGCAGATTTTTCCTTTGTAAATGATCAAAATCTGTGTGTGTGTGTGTTGTGTGTGTAACAGACTTAGGTGTAAAAGGTTATCGGGTATGTTTATGAAAAAAAAATTAAATAAATTCTTTAAAATAAATTTTGCCATTGCTCAGACTCCTTGATGAATATACTTCTCTTGGCCATGACTATAAGCTTTGCCTTTGTCTGAATTAATACAGCACTGTCCAATAGAAATATGTGGGACACATGTCATTATAAATTTTCTAAAAGCTTCATTTAAAAAACGTGACAAGAATTTGAAGTTAATTTTAATGATGTACTTTCTAATTCAACATATCCAAAATATAATTTCAATATGTAACTGATAGAAAAATGTGAGTTAATTTACATCTTAATTCAGACTAACTTCATGGGATTAGTGGCTGACATATTGGACAAAATCAACAGTGCTGCCTGGTGGCTGACATATTGGACAAAATCAACAGTGCTGCCTGGTTTAGGGCTTTGGCTCTAAATTAATGAATTAAAGTCCGTAGAGTTCATTATCTCATTGTCCCCAAACACAAGCTCTGCCCTCTGCCCCAAGTAAAGGAAGAATAAACGCACACTACACTTCTTCTCTCCTTTGTACCATTCTTCCCCAACTGACTAAATTATTTTTATTCTTGGGAGGGATACTAGTGCAATTTGGTTTCTTATTCTTGGGAGGGATACTAGTGCAATTTGGTTTCATATTTTTACACAGAGATCTGAAAGCATGCAAATCATATCTTCCTCACGAAATGGGTTAGTGGCATCCCTTTTAATAATTATCTTAAAACAAATATTGTGAAGTAAATATCTGTTGACCTGTCGTATTATCAAGTGACAGAAGTGCCTGAATAGTGTAATCTTCCATTTATGCACAGAATGACTAAAAGGTTGTTACCCAAATATACTACAGATGAAATTTAGGGTAATTTTTGCTTACTTCTTGGCATCATCTATATTGTCTACCACTGTTCACAATGAGTACTTGGTATCTTATTATTAAAGAAAATAAACTGGAAGAGTCATCAATTCTAACAGACTTACTTCCTGTATTAATTTTCCACTAATCTGTTAAAGTGGCTAATAGGAAAGCATTTAATCTGTGTTCTAAAAATGGGTTCTATAAAATGTGAATAAAAATTGTATTAAAAAAAATTTCTAATATAAACCTTACATATTTCTTATAAAAACCTTATGCAAACATTATATTAAAATTTCCTTAAAATATGCCGAAACCGGTTTGGCTCAGTGGATAGAGCGTCGGCCTGCGGACTGAAAGGTCCCAGGTTCGATTCCGGTCAAGGGCATGTACCTTGGTTGCAGGCACATCCCCAGTGGGAGATATGCGGGAGGCAGCTGATCGATGTTTCTCTCTCATCGATGTTTCTAACTCTCTATCCCTCTCCCTTCCTCTCTGTAAAAAATCAATAAAATATATTTTTAAAAAATAAATAAAATTTCCTTAAAATAAAAAACTTTTCTTCTAAAATACAACATGTAATAAAATTCAAAACATGTTTCTGTAGCTATTGTTTGGTAATCTGCCTTTAAGATATATGCCATACTTGCAAACATCAAGAATACAAGTAACTTCTTTGTCTGGCAGTCTTTCCTGATGAAGAGGATTTTTAAAATAGCCTACAGAATATATTCATTCAGTGATCATTAGTCAATGTTTTATATTCACACCCTGTCTAGTAATTAAAAACCAAGTCTTTTCAATAATATTCAAGTTTATAGTACAGTAAACATGAAACCAATTCTCTCAATTCTTAGGAAAACTGGTTTATGAACCACTATCTGCTTAATCAGAGCTTCCCCACAATTCATAAACTCATTTTCTTAAAATAATTATTTAAAAGTTCTATATAAAAATAAGACTGACAAAAGCTAGTTTAAACATTCTCTAATACTTGCTGTTTATCCTGACTATAAGATAAAACAATATTTAAAAATCAATTTTAGAAAAGAACAAGTTTAATAATTAATGCATTTATTAACTAAACATAAAAGATATAAACATTTGCTGACTTTGACTCTTATCCTATTTCTAGCCACTCTTACTCAATGATGTATAGTTTTAGGCCAGTTAGTTAGGCTAATGAGGGCAGTCTATGACATAGGTGAAAATATAGGCAAAGCTTCTTCAACCACATGCAGATCCACAGCCTGATTGCTTTTAATGACAGTTAAAAAAAATTACTAAAATAAATTTTATTTTTTAAAAAAGAAATTACCTAGAGATAGTTAGGAAGATACCTGTAACTCAGAGGATTAAATTTAGCATTATCATATTTGATCTGATCCCAACCAATTTTTCTAATCTTATCTTCCAATAGTCCCTTTGATATGTTTTATACATTCAACAAACCCAATTACTACTTATTTCCCCAAATCTTTGCATTAAAACCTGCTCATCTTTGGGTTCATGCTATTCTTGCCATATAAAATTCCCTACTTCTCAAAATCCTATCCATAGTTTTTTTTAAAAAAAGTTTTATTTTATTAATTTCAGAGAGGAAGAGAGAGATAGAAACATCAATGATGAGAAAGAATCATTGATCGACTGCCTCCTGCATACCCCACACTGGGGATCAAACCCGAAACTCCAGCATATGCCCTTGACCAGAATCGAACCCAGGACCCCTCAGTCCGAAGGCTGACACTCTATCCACTGAGCCAAACCATTGAGGGTCCTATTCATCTTTTAAGGCCCACTCTAATACCATTACCTCTTTGAAGGGTTCCACTCAAAAGGAAGTGATACTCCCACCTATATAATGTCCTAAAACGAAATTGTGAACTCAGATGACAACCTATTCATTTATTACTGAAGGCAATAAGGTATTTGCTGAATTAAATTCAAAGTTGATTCTCTTTTTAAAAAAATAATTCCAAAGAGGTAAAAAGATGAATTAAAATAGGCTTTATTTTCCAGAAGGTACTTGTACCTGATGTCATAATGAGGGATTATATAAATGTGGGCTTACTATACCTCTTGAGAAAGATAATCAGTTCCTGGAATCAGAGAAATATACTTCACAGAGGGGCTTCAAGAAACCAAAATAGATGAAATTCATTTATCAAACAGAACTTGCCTACTATGGATTGAACCCAAAATTGCTCAATACATTATAATTTCAGACACATAAACACAGGGACTGCAGGCCTATAACTGTGACCAAACAAAAGCTTGGTCCTTTATTTCACCTAAGTTAAACATCAAAAGTACTGCAAAAAAAGGCCTTCACTACTTTCTAAAGATAATCTAGCCCTTACTTTGCGTTCAGATCCTCATAAATGAAGGATTTGGGGGCACAGGCCTAAGAATTTACACTCAGAATACATCTAACAATGAAATGGCTGCATTTTACTTCTTTAATTATCAGTTTCCTTGAGATAAATTCTCAATCAAAATGAAAATGCTGAAAAAGTAAAAACTATTAGAAAGAATCAGTAAAATTACCAAAACTCTGCCTCACCTACCATGTAAAATTTAGCCAAATATTTATAATAGTCTACCTGTCCTACCCTCCACCTACCTGGGCCCTCTAGAAGACCACGTATATTGATTGGCAGGTAATTTCTCTCTGAGAGAATATTCAGCAACCATCATATCAGGTGAAACATAAGCACCAACACCTGTGGGATTAGATTTCATAATTAACAAAAGGACACAAAATATGCATGTTAACTCTAATCCACTATTCATTCGGCTACATGACCTTGGGTAAATTGTTTGATGTCCCTACGCCACAGCTCTGTCATAAAATGAAAAGATAAAAAAACTTAACTAAGGAAAATTTACTATGTACCAAACATTATACTATGTGACTTGTTTTTGAGTATAAAAACATCCATTAAGATTATTATGTGGATTACAAATAATGTACCTGAAAGTGTATTTAGATGTAAAAGAAAAAGAAATGTGTTTTAAACTATAAAATATAACATTAGAGGAATAAAGGAGTTAGTTGACTGGCATTTTTAAATGAATGACCATTCTATTGAAAACGCCACGGATAATATTGGCAGTATCCCACTGCTCAAAAGTAGCTACAATAATGAGCAAAACAACAAAGACAGAACATGTCAGTCTTGTAGATACATATGAAAATGAAGCCTCGTTAGACTCTGAAACACAATATAGAGATCAAACTTGGTTCTTTCATTTCAGAAATTAGGAAACATGACATACAGAAATTGAAAAAAATATACAAAATACACATTAATGACTGGAAGAGAAAAGATTTAGAATCCAGGTATACCAGCATCTACTAGTAATTCCTCTTTACAACATATACACATGCAGAGTAGAAGACTAGATAAATATATGTGAGTTAAGAGGATTTCGGTTAACAATGCTACCACATAAAACTGCAATTATTTTGTAAAATTTAAAATTTTCAGTGAATATGGGGATAAGAAAACAAAAAAACACTGAGTATTAGAGCAGAGCAATAAACTTGATCTTTAGGTACCTCTTTCAGATCTATTTTTGGTTTCATTTTCATACTAGAGGCCCGGTGCACAAAAATTTGTGTACTCAGAGGGGTCCCTCAGCCTGGCCTGTGCCCTCTCACAGTCTGGGACACTTCGGGGGATGTCCACCTGCTGGCTTAGGCCCACTCCCCAGGGATCGGGCCTAAGCTGGCAGTCAGACATCCCTCTGGCAGTCCGGGAGCCCTCGGGGTATGTCCACTTGACAGTGGGGAGCAGGTCTAAGCTGCAGTCGGACATCCTTAGCGCTGCTGAGGAGGCGGGAGAGGCTCCCACCACCACCGCTGTACTGGCAGCCGTCAGCCTGGCTTGTGGCTGAGCAGAGCTACCCCTGTGGGAGCGCACTGGCCATCAGAGGGCAGCTCCTGCATTGAGCGTCTGCCCCCTGGTGGTCAGTGTGTGTCATAGTGACCAGTCATTCCCAGTCTTTCTGCTGTTAGGGTCAGTTTGCATATTACCCTTTTATTATATAGGATAGAGACCTGGTGCACGGGTGGGGGCCAGCTGGTTTGCCCTGAAGGGTGTCCCGGATCAGGGTGGGGGTCCCGCTGGGGTGCCTGGCCAGCCTGGGTGAGGGGCTGAGGGCTGTTTTCAGGCTGGCCACACCCCCTTCAGGGAGGGGGGTCCTGCTGGGGTGCCTGGCCAGCCTGGGTGAGGGGCTGATGGCTGTTTGCAGGCTGGCCAAGCCCCCCAGCAGGGACCCTCACCCCATGAGGGGGTGGCCAGCCTGGGTGAGGGGCTGATGGCTGCAGGCTGGCCACAGCCCCCAGGCACCCAAGCTCTCAGTGGAGGCTAGCTGGAAGCAGGTAACTGGGATTTATTTATCTTCTATAATTGAAACTTTGTTGCCTTGAGTGGAGGCCACAGCCGGCAGGCGGGAAGCTTGGCTTCCTCCATCACCAGGGCAACCAAGCCTCCTACTTGCTCCAGTTCCGTGGCTGCCAGCCGCCATCTTGGTTGGGTTAATTTGCATATAGTCGCTCTGATTGGCTGGTGGGCGTGGCTTGGGGCATAGCGGAGGTGAGGTCAATTTGTACGTTTCTCTTTTATTGGATTAGATGCTTATAATCCTCCTATATAATAAAAGCCCAGCGATGGAAACAGTGGAATGACCAGAAGGACCAGAGACCGAAACAACCGCCGCCCTTCGCCCCAGCCGGCCCCGCCCCTCAGTGGTGACCCCCATCCCAATCTGGGACCCCCATCAGGGCAGGCTGGCTGCATCGGGCCTCTATCCTATCCAATATAATAAAAGGGTAATATGCAAATTGACCCTAACAGCAGAACAACCAGAATGACTGCTTGACTGATCACTATGAGGTGCACTGATCACCTCTTGGTTTTTTCCCCCGCCCAGCAGGCTCTGATTGCCCAATGGCGAACGGGGAACTGGGAGGGGGGTGTGGTGGGGGGGCTGGCTGCAGTCAGCCAGGGAAAATAGCCCTGATCACAGGCCAGGCCTAGGACCGTACCCGCGCACGAATATCATGCACCGAGCCTCTATTCTATATAATAAAAGCTTAAGTGACTATTATGGCACAATGACCAGAACGACCGGTCACTATGATGTGCACTGACCACCAGGAGACAGACGCTCAACGCAGGAGCTGCCCCCTGGTAGCCAGGGTGCTCTCACAGGGGGAGCACCACTTAGCCAGAAGCCGGGCTCATGGCTGGTGAGTGCAGCAGTGGTGGTGGGAGCCTCTCCTGCCTCCGCGGCAGTGCTAAGGAGCAGCAAGCCAAGTGGTAAGGAGCCTGCTGCTAAGGAGTAGTGAACTGAGTGGTAAGGAGCAAGCAGGCTGGCAGTAAGGAGCGAAGGATCCTGGATGGCGAGAGGGATGTCCGACTGCCGGTTTAGGCCCAATCCACATCCCCCGAGGGGTCCTGTACTGGGAGAAGGTGCAAGCTGGGCTGAAGGATCTCCCCCTCCCAGTGCATGAATTTCATGCACTGGGCTTCTAGTATCTATATAATTGAAATACACAATGTATGTATCACTGGTAGGCTCTGTTGTCTTAACAAATGATTTAACAAAATACTTAAACAAGAGGTTTTAAGCCAAAACCGGTTTGGCTCAGTGGATAGAGCGTCGGCCTGCGGACTGAAGGGTCCCGGGTTCGATTCCGGTCAAGGGCATGTACCTGGGTTGCGGGCACATCCCCCGTGGGAGATGTGCAGGAGGCAGCTGGTCGATGTTTCTCTCCCATCGATGTTTCTAACTATCTATCTCTCTCCCTTCCTCTCTGTAAAAAATCAATAAAATATATTTAAAAAAAAAAAAAAAACAAGAGGTTTTAAATTACATAAAGTAAAATATACCTTAAACTGTAGAAGCTATAAATAAAAGTATGTCTTATATTTATATTTATCTTATATTTATAAGATCACTTATTTTAAGACAAAAATCTTTTTAAAAGGAGCAATTATGAAGCTTTGATACCCAAATATTATATATAAATCTTTAGAATCTACATACTAGTAACACCTATAATATGCATGTACCTATGCAATTATTGATATATACTCCAGAAAAAGTATTTGTGACCCAATAGTTTTTATAGTCATGTATCCAATCACAAAAGTCAAAAAGCAGAAGCCTTATTTTGATCCCAAATAAAAATAAATAAATTTAAAGCATCATTTCTTTCAATTCATCCTTCTTATTCACGCTACATATTTAAAAAGAACAGGGTGTGGGTTTTATATTTTGTGGGTTTTTCTGCATAAGTTAGCACAGGGGTGGGCAAACTTTTTGACTTGAGGGCCACAATGGGTTCTTAAACTGGACCGGAGGGCCGGAACAAAAGCATGGATAGAGTGTTTGTGTGAACTAATATAAATTCAAAGTAAACATCATTACATAAAAGTACGGTCTTTTTTTTTTTTTTTTAGTTTTATTCATTTCAAACGGGCCAAATCCGGCAGCGGGCCGTTGCCCACGGCTGAGTTAGCAGCTAGTATTATAATGCAAGCTGTCTTATTTTCATACTATGACTGCAACTAATTTTGATTTCCCATAGCTCTTGTAGATAGGCATTTTTTTCCATTAGAGTACAATGAAAAAGACAACACTGCAGCATATCTAAAGATCAAAGAATGGAAAAAAAGCCACATTCATGGAACAAATGTGTTGCAACTGTACTTCTCATTAATAGAGCTTTCTTCTTCAACATCTGGTTCTTTCTGCACGTTCTAAGAGAAATGAAAGGAGAAAACTATACTATGAACTAAGTAGTCGTACACTATAAATAAACAGTAAAGGAAGTGGCTTTGTCAGCGTGGCTTAGTAGTTGAGCGTCAACCTATGAACCAGGAGGTCATGGTTCGATTCCCAGTCAGGCCATATGCCTGGGCTGTGAGCTCGATCCCTAGTGTGGGGAGTGTACGAGGCAAACAATCAATGATTTTCTCTCATTATTGATGTTTTTCTCCCCTTCTCATGTCCTCTCTGAAATCAATAAAAATATATTGAAAAAATAAAAAAGTAAAGAAAGTGTCTTTACATTGTTCACGTAGTCTGGAAAGCCCTTTCCTTGATCATTTCTAATGACGGAAATCCTTAATCCCCCATTCTTACCTAAATTCTCAAATCAGAAGTAGCCACTTTTGTAATCCCACAGCACTTTATCTGTACCTCCATTCAACCACTTACTCCAGTCTACTTCAGAGTCAATTCCAGATCAGCAGACCCCTAACTAGATTTCAGTTTCCCGAGGTTGTATTTAAGGTTGATGGTGTCTTGCATAGAAGAGATCCAATTAACATTAGATTAACTGAGGTGTTTTTTGTTTGCTGATTTTTAAACAAGTCCATTTCTAAAATAGGAAACTCACCTATTACACTTGATGTAGTTCCACCAGGACAACCAACTGTAGAAAGGCATGGACCATTGTTTCCAGCACTGGAAATATAAATTATATTATGCTTCCACACTGCTTCATTAATGACTTCACAAATTCTCCTGAAAGAGAGAGAGAATTCCTTTAAACATAAAAAATTGTCCCACTTTTCAAAATCTATATTATGTGAAAATATCTGCAAATATGGTTTATATATTAAAAAGACTAAAATATGGATTCTAGTAACAGAACTAAAACAATGGCTATCTATATATAAGGAAATGTGCATTAGAATCACTCAGATTGGGACATTATTTTTTTCTTTATTGATTAAAGTATCACATGTCTCCTTTTTCCCCCATTGGCCTCACCCCAGCCACACCCCCCCATGCCCCTCAACACATTCCCTCACCCCCGCTACTGTCTGTGTCCATTGGTTATGCTTATATGCATGCATAAAAGTCCTTTGGTTGATCTCTACCCTCCCCACCCCTTGATGCTTCTCTATCTCTGGATCTATTTTTGTTCATCAGTTTATGTAGTTCATTATTTTCCACAAATGAGTGAGTTCATGTGATATTTATCTTTCTCCAACTGGCTTATTTCGCTCAGCATAATGCTCTCCAGTTCCATCCATGCTGTTGCAAGTGGTAGAAGTTCCTTCTTTTTTACAGCAACATAGTATTCCATTGTGTAGATGTACCACTGTTTTTTAATCCACTCATCTGCTGATGGACACTTAGGCTGTTTCCAAATCTTAGCTATTCTAAACTGTGCTACTATGAAAATAGGGGTGCATATATCTTTTCTGACTGTATTTCTGATTTCTTGGGATATATTCCTAGAAGTGGGATTACTGGGTCAAATGGGGGTTCCATTTTTAATTTTTTGAGGAAACTCCACAGTGGCGGCACCAGTCTGCATTCCCACCAGCAGTGCATGAGGGTTCCTTTTTCTCCACATCCTCGCCAGCACTTGTCGTTTGTTGCTTTGTTAATGATAGCCATTCTGACAGGTTTGAGGTGGTACCGCATTGTCGTTTTGATTTGCATTTCTCGGATGATTACTTTGAGCATGTTTTCATATGTCTCTTGGCCTTATGTACGTCCTCTTTCGAAAAGTGTCTATTTAGGTCCATTGCTCATTTTTTTATTGGATTGTTTATCTTCCTTTTGTTAAGTTGTATGAGTTCCCTGTAAATTTTGGAGATTAAACCCTTACTGGAAATAACACTGCAAATATGTTCTCCCATGCAGTGGGCTTTCTTGTTTTGTTGATGGTTTCTTTTGCTATGCAGAAGCTTTTTATTTTGATGTAGTAACATTTATTTATTTTCTCCTTAGTTTCCATTGCCCTAGGAACAGTATCAGTAAGGACACTGCTAAGACATATGCCTGATATTTTGCTGCCTGTGGATTCCATTACGATTTTATGGTTTCCCATCTTACGTTTAAGTCCTTTATTCATTTTGAGTTTAGTTTTGTGTATGGTGTAAGTTGGTGATCTAATTTCATTTTTTTGCATGTATCTGTCCAATTTTCCCAACACCATTTACTGAAGAGACTGTCTTGATTCCATTGTATGCTCTTGCCTCCTTTGTCAAATATTAATTGAGCGTAATGGCTTGGGTCTATTTCTGGGTTCTATGTTCTGTTCCATTCGTCTATATGTCTATTCTTGTGCCAGTACCAGGCAGTTTTGAGGACAGTGACTTTGTAATATAGCTTGATATCTGGTATTGATATCCCTCCTACTTTGTTCTTCTTTCTCAGGATTGCTATGGCTATTCGGGGTCTGTTTTTTTATTCCATATGAATTTTAGGAGAGTTTATCTGTGAAATATGCTGTTGGTATTTTAATGGGGAGTGCACTGAATCTATAGATTACTTTGGGTAGTATGGACATTTTAATGATGTTGATTCTACCAATCCATGAACACGGTATATTATTCCATTTGTTTATGTCTTCCACTATGTCTTTTTTCAATGTCGTCTAGTTTTCCAAGTAGAGGTCTTTTACCTCCTTAATTTATTCCTAGATATCTTAATTTTCTTGGTGCAATGGTAAATGGGATTGTTTTTTAAATCTCTCTTTCTGCAAGTTCACTATTGTTGTATAAAAATGCCATAGATTTCTGGGTATTAATTTTGTATCCTGCTACATTGCCAAATTCAGTTATTAAGTATAATAATTTTTTGATGGAGTCTTTAGGGTTTTCTATGTGTAATATCATGTCATTTGCAAATATTAAGTTTTACTTCTTTTCCAATTTGGATGCCTTTTATTTCTTCTTCTTGTCTAATCGCTATGGCTAGCACTTCCAGTACTATGTTAAACAGGAGTGGTGAAAGAGGGCATCTGTCCTGTTCCTGTTCTTAGGTGAAATGGAGATCGGGACATTCTTAAACAATAAATGCTTAACCTCTATTCCAAAAGTATATATAATAGCAAAATATTGTTCAAATGAGTGGTTAAGTAACTTTTGGTGCCACCATTGGTGGAACATGATACAGCCAATCCAGGTGATGCACCCTAGTTAGATTTTAGAGTTGGGAAGCAGTTAAGAGGCCAGGTTAAATGTGGAGAAATGCTAGATACAAAATTGAATACATATGGGGAAAACTACAAAAGGATACTGAATGATTAGCTGTGACTGGGTCGTGGGGCAACTGGTGCTTTCAGTCCCATTCCACTTAAAGCAACATATTCAGAAACAACTCTTGGGAAATTCCTAGATATATTTGTAATTAGTGACAAAAGTGAAGGGGAAATAAAGCACTAGGGAGAACTTAAGAGAATGATTTAAAATATAAGAAATCTGGTTAGAGCTTGATAGCAAACAAGAAAAATGTACTGGTATTGATTAAAAGAGATGAAGTTAGAGTCTAACTGTTAGACCATGAAGAAAATGGAGTCAATATCACAAAGATATAGGGCTAAGGACACTCCAAAGTACAAAAGAAGGGTATCAGGGAAATGACTTTAAATGGATGAATATCAAAGGAGAGAAAGAAATACACGTCGGTAAATAAGATACTGAAGCAAAAAGAAGGGACAAGATTGCATTCACAAATAAAATGTCTGAGGATGACAGGGTGCTTGTTAAAAGGACAAGAAAAGGATGTGTCATAGAAACTTAGTAGTACTAGTTTTCTGGAAACAGTAAGTTATTTGATAACAGCAAACTACAAGGTCTGGGCTTGGTAAAATTTGGACTTTGGCAGTATTTTATTAAAGAACCTCAGACACTGAATGATAGGTATATATGAATGGCCTGGTGGTGGGAGGGAGAAAATGATCAGTAAGATAATACTCTAAGTAAGGTAATCTCAAAGTTACTACTATGAAGAAAAAAGGTAAGGTAGCATGAGGTCAAGACTAAACCACTGGATTTGGCAGCAGGAAGATACTGATGACACAGGGAGGAAGGGTCGGGAAAAGACTTAAAATGTGAACATACACACTAAGTTTTCCTGGAAAAGTGAATGAAAGCAGTATGAAATGAAGAGGTTTTGTGTCTGTTTTAAGGCTGGCGACTCTAGAGCATATCTGTATAATAATGCAGTAAAGGAGAGAGGAAATGAGATACAGATCTCAGAGGCTTGAGTGACTTGATCCTGGCACTTCTTTCATTACACAACAGGGAAGGCAGAGAAGGTGGGGTTAGAGGAGGTCACAGGAAGGGCACAAAGTCCCCTGCTGAGTGCTTTTGTTCTCTCTGGGAAAAGGGGAGAACTTTACTCAGGAAAGAGAGGGAAGGTCACTGAAGGTCTTTAAGAGGTGTAAAATGGTCATACAGGAGGGAAAGGGTAAATGCAATGTGATCAGACAATGCTGTATGAACAATCTCATATCTGTGGTCTTAAACCTGCAGTGGGTTGTCAGTGTGTTTCTCCTGAAAAGTCTGGCAGTGCAGGTATGGGATCACTGAAGGGAATGCCAGGGTTTCCACAATATGGAGTTTGGTCAGGTAATTACACCTGGAAGAGTTGAGGGTGATTATGGATAAGGAATTCTAGTGACAGATGGGATGTGGGATATCCCTGGGAAGGGGAAATAAGGATATCAAGAATATGACCATGGAATGAGGGCCAGATCTAGGAAACATAGTTACTGCTTTTTTCAATTATAATTTTCAACCCAGTTATGAAAAGCATTTCATACTCTTATTCTGCTAAGTATCTATAGGTAATAGGAGACAAAGAACACTCACCCAGAATTTGGCCAGTGAGTTGCTTCTCCATAGCTGTAGTTGACAAGATCACACTTATGGTTTATAACTTCTATCATCTATTAAAAAGATGAATAATCTAATTTAGGAAGCAATGTACAGAAACAGACATGACAGTAAAGGCATAGAATCCCACAGTTTCTTAATTAATCATATTCTAACTTAAATCCAAATATATGTTACTTCTAAGCAAATGGTTAATAAACTTTTAAAAAGGTAGGGGGAGAGAGCGTATAGTAAATATCTATAAAAACCAAAACTAGAGACCTGGCCAGTGAGGCTCAATTGGTACACAGTTGCATATACCAAAAGTTTGTGGGTTCAATTCCTGGTCAGGCCACATACTAGGTTTTGGGTTTGATATCAAATCGGGATCTGTAAGAAAGCAACCAATCAATGTTTCTCTCTCACATCAATGGTTTTCTCTCTCTCTCCCTCTCCCTCTCTCCCTCTGTCTCCCTCAAATCAACAAAAGCATGTCCCTAGGTAGGGATTTTTAAAAATTACAAAAACAAACAAAAACCCACACACAAAACAAAACTAGCATTTGCAGATCGGAATAGGGGAGAGGAAGAGAAAATGGAATAGTTCTTACCAAAATTAAATTAAAATATGATTCATATTAAAATAAAATGTAGAGTATTAGTTAAATTCTTCTTAGGCTAATGGAGTAAGATGGTAAAGAGGCCTTTTTGGTTTTTTTAAAGTACCTCAAAATAGCCTGTGAGGAGATTTAGTAGAAATGCAAAGTATAATATAAATAATATTTGCATATTTTCCAAGAAACTTTATCCTAATAATTTTAACAAAATAACTGAAGAATACTCTTGGTAAGCCCAAAGCACTTTATAAACCTAAAAATATCGCAGATCATCAATTATTAATCTTCTCAATCAACACCTCACAAAAACTCACAGCTCTTATAAGGCCTGTGCCTGTTTCCATTGTGCTCAGTCTTGTATCACCAATCTTGATTGAAAGAATTTGGGCACCAGGAGCCACACCATTCCGTTCAGGTTCTTCTGGAAAATGCCCAGCAGCTATGCTAGCTACATGAGTTCCATGAGCTCCTAGAGGCAAAAAGAGGGGAACATGACAAAATATTCTCATAGATTCAAAGTTCTAACCATTCAATTTTTATATTAATCATGATAAAAATAATAAGAATATACCCTCACCTTAATATTTAATAATATATTCCCTTAATTTTCTTATCAATAATTCACAAAAAATGAAAACTCTTTGAATTCCATACACTATTCTATTACCCTATTCATTGAGAGCAAAAATGCAATTCACAAGGATGAGGAAGTGTTTGCAATATATATAATTGACAAAAAACTTATATCCAGAATGTAACCTTCAAATCCAAAGGAAAAGAAGGAATGTGAAAGAAAAATGGGTGAAACACTTAAAAAGCATTTCACAAAAGAGGAATTCAAATGACTCATAAATATATGAAAATATGTTCAACTTCATTAGTCTGTCTGAGAAATACAAATCAAAGCCACATACCTTTCAGAATGGCTACAACTGTAAGGCTGACTGACAACAGCACCATGGATGGGGATGTGCACTCACACAATGCTAGTGGAAGAGTAGACTAGCATTTTGGAAAGCTGCACACAGGCATACCCTATGACTTAGCAATTCCACCTCTAGCTATGTACCCAACAGAAATGTGTGCACAGTAAAAAACAAATGCAAAATTGTTCATGGCAGCATTGCTTATAAAATTAAAAAACTTGAATGAATACATGCTGTATTTACAGAATTAAATATTATACAGCAATAAATATGAACTTCTATACACTATAGGATGAGGCACACAAAAATAAGGCTTATTTAAGTCACACACAAAAGGGTATATAATGAATAATCCACTTATATAAATGGAAATATCACCATAATAACATTGAACCATATGCAATTACCACTATTTAATCATTTCTGATCCATAAACAGCAATACCAGATGGTTCAATCTAATATGCTAATAGAAATAAGGACAATAGTTAACTTTGGGAGGGAGGGTGTGTTAGTAGTTAGGAAGAGACATAATGGGAGCCTTGCCAATGTTTTTATTTCTTGACTTGGGTGGTGGTTAGACAGCATATTCACCTGTGATAATTCAATGCATATACGATTTGTGATTTGTATACTTTTCTCTATAAATGTCATATACCAATGAAGTAAACAAAAACAAAAAAATTGGGCCTTTTTCTAATTGAAAAGTTTTTTAAAAGACATGGGTAGAGAGAAATGTCACACTGCTGTCAGATAAACAGTAAAACAAACATAATGATAAATTACAACTGGCACTGGGCCTTAATGTTTGAGTGACACTGGAATAGTTGGAGCTCCAGGAGAAATGAGAGAATAAGACTCTTCCAACTGGGTCTGCTGCTATGCTGCGACTCCTCTACTCTAGACAACTGTTGTTCTGTAAGAATATGGATCCAACATTACCAATTCTTCCTGTCTTATTTTTTTCCAATAAAAACAGAAAAGCTGGAGCCCTGGTCAGTGTTCTCAATGGTTAGTGTCCACTCCACCTGTGCACAGAAGGATCGTGGGTTTAATTCCCTGTCAAGGGCATGTACCTGGTTGCAGGACCGATGCCCAGCCCCTGTTGGAGTGCATGACAGAGGCAACCAATAGATGTGTCTCTCTTATATTAATGTTTCTCTCTTTCTCCCTCCCTTCCACTCTCTCTCAAAAAATCAATCAATGGAAAAAATATCATCAGGTGAGGATTAACAAAACAAAAATAAAAAATAGGAAAGTTGGATTTTAATGTAATCTCCCCAACCAACCCCCGCAAAAAACTTTGTCACCACCACCACCTATCAGTTAGAATGGCTAAAATTAAGTTTACTGGCCACACTGTGTGGGGACAAGAATGTGGAGCTGCTGGAGCACTCATGCTCTGCTGGTGGAATGCAGAGTGTACAGCCACTGCAGAAAACAGCCTGGGAGTTTCTTAAGTTAAACATATGCCTACTGTAACTAACCAGTTCTCCTAGATATCATTCCAAGTTAAACAAAAACATATTTCCACACAGAGACTTATACACAAATGTTGAAACAATGCAAATGTCCACCAGAAGGTGAATGGATAAACAAACCATGATGTACTCACATCATGAAATACTACTCCTAAATAAGGAATAAGCTATTATTTATAATCATAATATAAATAAATTTCAAACCATTACTCTGAAATAAGGCTGGCCAAAAAAAAACACACCAAAAACATATTCTTATTCCACTTACATAAAATTCTAGAAAATGTAAACTAATCTAGAGTGACAGAAAGCAGTTCTGTGGCTAGCTGGGGTTGCGGGTGGAGACAGGGCTGGATTATACAAGACAAGCAAACTGTGGGTGTGATGGAAATGTTCATTATCTTGATTGTGGTGATGGTTTCCTGGGAGTATGCATCTTTCAAAACTTATCAAATTGTGTGTGCGCACACACACAGTATATATTGTGCTTTAGCTATTCAGCTATGTCTTAAGTTGGGGAAGGGGGTGATAAAGAGTTGTCTTTCACACTTTGGAAAGTATAGGATTGTCTAACCTATACTGTGTACCTGAAACTAATGCAAAATAATAAATGTAAACTGTAGCTAAAAAATGAAATTTAAATTTAAAAAAAATAATTAAAGTCTTCTGACCTCATTCCCTTTGCTCCTTCACCAGGAATAACCACTATTCAGAAGCTGGTGTGCATTTTCTTACATCTATATTGTTACCATATACACACACATATCCATAAACACTGTGTAGAATATGGCATATTTTACACACGTTTTATCATTAATATATTTAAAATTTATATATTTGAGATATAGGTATATAAAAATTTGTTTTGATTGCTGTATAATATTCCACAGTATGAATAACACAATTTTTTAAAAAAATTATTCTTTTGTTGATGGGTATTTAGATTGTTTCACCTGACAGTACAATCAGGTAAAAAGATCTTTACTATAGCATTTGGTGTCATTTCAAAAACAGTTTGAACTTCTCTCAGATTAATATTTGGAAGTGAAATTACTGTTCTTTAGATGAATTATGCTGGTGGATTTTTTTTTTGTGGTTGGACCATGTTTATATTCTTGGAAGGGATCCTACATGACTATGATTTTAAGGAACAACACTTTGCCAAGGAACCAAATTACATCTATTATTCCAGACCTAGTTCTTCAGTTGGAATCTCTAAATTCTCTATGAGGCTGCTTTTGGCTACAGAAACTTATCATCTTGCACTTTGTAAATTTAACTCTAATTAGCATATCTGAAACAGAATACCTCCACTGGTCACAATAGAGAGCAAGTTTCCATCATCATATATATTAACGGAGTAATTCAGCATCTCAGCTGTGCCAAAAGAACTATATTCTTGGGCTTCCTTGTAGTTTCTCAATACAGTAGATTTACTCAAGTCCCCGTCTTCATTCGAATCAATGCAGGCTCTGTAAATTCAGAATATAGAATAGATAATGAAATCTATTGTCTTATCTTCCAGAAAACTACATAATGTTGCTTCTCAGGTATATTCTTACTACCCTATCTGTTTCAACCACAGCAAACACAGTAACTGCCTGGTTTAAATTTCTCTGTTTCACAGTCATCAGCAAAGATTAGGTAAGGTAGTGTCACAAAATTCCAGGCAGGAAGCCTTACAGCCCACTTAAGAAATTAGAACAAAGCTTAGCCTAGAGCTTTAGAATATTTTTAGGATGATTTTCACATATAGCCTAGGCCTTACTTCCTGCTTCTTCTAGAACTGGCTGCTGGACCCACTGTGTATGCAAGCTCCTTAAAGCAAGTACTATTATTGAGCCACCATCCCACAGTTGTAATAGCCTTAGGCAAACATATTTAACAAAAAGCATTTTCTACATAGTTTATGGTTGTCCTATCTGCTCTTTCCCAGTTTAACTTTTTAATTGTATAGAAGCCATCTATCTATACTAATAAAAGGGTAACATGCTAATTAGACCAGATAGACCAGACATCTTCTGGACATCCCTCCAGACAAAGCCACAGCGGCTACAAGGGCTAAGGAGGGCCGGCGGCCGGCAGTGGCAGTAGCAGTGGGGTGATGGGGGAGGCACCTTCCCATGATCAGCCCGGTCGCCTCCCACAGAGAAAGGCCAGACTTCGGCTTAGGCCTGCTCCCCGGGAAGCGGGCCTAAGCTGTTAGTAGGACATCCTGAGGGCTCCCAAACGGTGAGACGGGGCAGGCCAGGCTGAGGGACACTGCCCCACTGCACAAGTTTGTGTGCACCAGGTCTCTCATCTATATATATATAAAACCCTAATATGCAAATAGACAAAACAGTGGAACAACTGAACAACCGGTTGCTATGATGTGTGATGACCACCAGGGGGTACACGCGGAACATGGCAGGTGTCGGCAGCAGGCAGCAGAGCGCAGAACAAGGCAGGCGATAGCTATGGTGGGATGGTGGAGCAGGTGAGCATGGGCACCAGACCAATGCAGGGTGCCAGTCGCTGTCATCAGGGCGAGCCTTTGGTGGTTACTGAAAATTCTTTGCTCCCACATGCCATGGTCCCACAGAGCGCTTGCACCTGCTGCCGGCGCCAGTCCCACGCACACTTGCTGTCGTCACCTGGCACCAGCCCCGATCACCCCTCAGGGCTTCTCCACCTCCCCCTGCTCCTGAGGGGCAATTGGGGCTGGCAGCCGCCTCTCGCACCCACTGCTGGCAACAGCCCTGCTCACACCTGCAGCCAGCGCCAGAGCCGCCTCTTGCACCTGCTGCTGGTGCCTGGTGCCGGTCCCGATCGCTTGGTGCCATCAGCAGGTGCCAGACACTCAACGCAGGAGCTGCCATGATGTGCACTGGCCAGCACCATGGATCTGGTGTCGACAAACCAACACTTGACTTCCCCCAAGTGGGACACAGGCCCCACCACCATCCTGGAGCAATATCCCACCAAATCGCAGCCAACGCTGCAGAGACCTCATGGCCAAAAATGCGGCCCACAGCTCAGCCCAACCCGGAAACGCCCGGCTTCCTCTCCCTAGCAACACCTAGCCTCCTTGCAGTTTCTTCAGCCCAGGAACCCGACTTGCTTTATAGCCAGGTGCAGACATTTCAAACTTTATTATTTTTTTATTTTTTAAATATATTGTATTGATTTTTTACAGAGAAGGGAGAGGAATAGAGAGAAACATCAATGAGAGAGAAACATCGATCAGCTGCCTCCTGCATACCCCCTACTGGGAATGTGCCCACAACCAAGGTACATGCCCTTGACTGGAATCGAACCCAGGACCCTTCAGTCCGCAGGCCGAAGCTCTATCCACTGAGCCAAACCGGTCAGACTTTAAATAAATGTCTGTAAAGCGTTTTCCCGTGCCTCATCTCATTTAATCCTCACAGAAATCCTGGAGTAGGTAGATAGGAGACTCGGTGGAATCCTATTTTCTTTTCATTAGCGAGAAAACAAAGATTTAGAAAGTTCAGAAACTTGACCCGACTAAAAAGTAAGAAATGGTGGAGGTTGAAAATGACTTCAGGTTTTCTCACTGCACAGAATATAGTCAAACACTGCTGCAGTTAAATATTTTACCCTTTGTTCTCCCTGTGTGATCTACAATAATAATCTGATTCATGTTGATATTTACTGCTGTGTTGCTGACAATTACCTGAAAGAGAAGTTGGGGTGCTTCACTGGGATGGAAAAGGTTTATCTAAATCAGAAAGCAGGTCTAATTAAGCAAGTTTATTCTCTATATATAAAAGGCTAAGTTGACTCACATGCGCTATACAGATAAAGCTCTTGCTGGTGCCAATCGCACCCATGTGTTTCCATCTGTCATTGTCGATTGTGAATTTGTTTGACACTTCTATTATAGAGAAAGGGCAAATAGCAATATTAAAATATTTTTTCTAATTAATTTCCTTTCAATGTGCACGAATTCGTGCACTGGGCCACTTGTTTATTATAAACACTAAGGCATGTATATTCTATGAACAAACTACAACAATTTGGAAAGAAGAATCTCTAAAACTGTCAGTTTGTGTTTATGTATAGACTTCAATCAATGTGTAGCCAAAATTATTTACAACATTTCAAAAAAACATACAATATAGCAACATATATAAGATTGAACACTTATGAGAAAAATTAGGAAAAGAGAAAACAAGTAGCATGTCAAATGGAGGTAGGACTGAGGTTAAAAGGTAAAATGTATTCCATCAAATCCTCCGTATTTGCAAGACAGAGCAGCACTTTTGGTTCCAAAATAGATGATTAGGATCCCTCCTGGAAGTCATTTCTAAGCCCTCCCTTTCTTTTGTGCAGCCTATAATGCACTGTACATTTCTACCAGCTCCTTGTTGTCCTCTGGATCTTCCCCCTCTAACCTTCCCCCCCCTTTTTTACCCTCTTTGCTTAACTAACTTTTGCTAATCCTTCAATTAAACCTTTCTTGATGATTCCTAGATGGGTTCAGATGACCCCAATACTTGATTCCACAGGGTCTAGGCTCCATGGAGTAGCTTCTAGAGAGTCCACCTACTCAATGAAGCTACTCAAATATTTGCCAAATGATGAAATAACAGATGAATCAACACTTTTAACAACATTCTCACAGCAAGGGCGGTCAAGATGGTAGTGTAGGTAAATGGGGTACTGGCATCGTCCCACAACCACAGCAAAATTACAACTCAACTATAGAACTGTCATTCAGAACTGCCTGAAATCTAGCTGAACATAGTCCTACAACTAAGGATATAAAGAAGCCACATGGAGACTGGTTGGAGGGAAGGAGATGAGAACGAGCTGGTCCCACACCCATGTATGGTGGATAAAAATCAGGAGGGCTACCTTAGCTACAGAGAACACCCTGAGGAGTGGAGGTGGGGAGGTGAGGGGTGTCCCAGTCCTCCACCAGCCCCTCAGCCAGAGTTCCAGTGCCAGGAAGAGAACTCCTCATAATTTCTGTCTATAAAACTCAGCAGGGATTGTTGCTAAATGAAATGGAGGGAGGCTAGAGTCCTAGGTGTTCCTTTAAAGAGCCAGCACACAAACTTACTCAGACTCACTCATTCTGAGCTTCAGCGCTGGAGAAGCAACTCAAAAGACACCAAGGACATATGGGAAGGAACTAAATTGTCTGGCATCAGGGCAAGAGCAGGGGTGATGGTTTTCTCACAGGCAAAAGTGCTGGCAAAGGCCACTGTTCCTTTGATGAGCCCCCTGTAGCCCCTCCCCCTCCTGAACTGGCAGGTAGGCACCATGTCTGAGTCTCCATCAACAGGGCTAACATCATTCACCCCACCCTGGTTATTCCCTGAGACTCCATTCCACCCAAATAGGAGGCCCATCCAGCTGTTTCCAATGCATTTTCCATAAGAATGACCTGTCTTGGATCATGCTTCAGATTTTCCTAAAATCTTTCAAACAAGCAGAATCTCATGGGTGTGCCACATGCTGCTCACTAAATGGCCCCAGGCCTGGCACTAGTGGCAGCTGGCTTTGGTTCACAACTTGGCCTCTGCACCTCCAAGCCCAGCACAAATAGCAGCCACCTGCAGATTGTTTTATAGCTCATGCCATAAGGCTGACTTGGCCTGCACCTCCCAGGAGGCCCCAGAGCCAGTGCACCAGGTGGATAGCTTCAGGCCATACAGAAGCAGCATCCAACCACCTCCACAAGCACATACTCAAGGGCCAGACTCAGTGGACATCAGAGTCCTGCTGAAGTTAAGTCCTACTCTGTGGGGTGGGCCCCTACACAGTTGATCCACCATGCTGGTTGCAACCAGTTCTTGCAGCTGATTGGCTTGAGAGTAAACCCCTCCCAATGAGGTGCCCACAGCAATTAAGGTTCAACTATAAAAGGTGTACACAGCCCAAACAGCGGATTGGGGGGGGAGTGCACCTGGAGTGCCCAGATCAGATGAAAGGGGAGGCTGTGGCACTGAACCCTACAGGACATTACATTAGGCAACCCTACCAAGCCTGGGAGATACAGCAGCTCTATCTAATACATAGAAACAAAAACAGAGAGACTGCCAAAATGAGGAGACAAAGAAACATGTCCCAAATGAAAAAGACCTATATATATAAAAGGCTAAGTGACCAACCAACTGTCCGACTGGCCAGTACATATGACACGCACTGACCACCAGGGGGCAGACGCTCAATGCAGGAGCTGCCAAACTCCGGTGACTTGGCAGCAGCGGTTCTTGGGTGATGCACCCCGGAACCAGAGAGGAGGGAGCCCGATTCCTCACAGGGCTGCGCAATTCCACCTCCGGCCTTGGGATACATTGTTGCTGGGGCACCGTCGGCTCCAAATCTGGTTTACTACCAAGCTGCGGTGACTTGGCAGCAGCGGCTCTTGAGTGACGCACCCCAGAACCAGAGAGAAGGGAGTCCGATTCCTCACGGGTCCATGTTACTCCATCTTCGGTCGTGGGTTATGTTGTTGTTGGGGCACTGTTTGCTAATATTTCTTCTAATTAATTTCCTTTCAATGTGCACGAATCTGTGCACCAGACCAATAGTAGAATAAAACTCCAGAAAAAGAGCTAACCAGATGGAGACAAGCAATCTATTAGATGCAGAGTTCAAAACATTAATTATAAGGATGCTCAATGAACTCCAGCAAAGAGTAGCTGAACTTAGTGAGAGCGTCAACAGCTTAAAATAAGGACATAGAAACCATAAAAAAGAAACAGTCAGAAATGAATGATACATTAACTGAAACGAAGAATTTACAGGGAATCAACAATAGAGTAGATGAAGCTGAGAATCAAATCAGTGATTTGGATAATAAGAAAGTAAAAAAATACCCAGGCACAACAGCAAAAGAAAAATGAATTAAACAAATGTAGGATATTATAAGGAGCCTCTAGGTTAACTTCAAGTGTACCAACATTTGAATCATGGGGGTGCCAGAAGAAAAAGAAAGAGATAACGCAAGAAACTGAAAACCTATTTGAAAAATAATGACAGAAAACTTCCCTAACATGGTAAAGGAAAAGGCATACAAATCCAGGAAGTGCAGAGAGTCCCAATAAGATGAACTCAAAGTGACCTACATCAAGACACATCATAATTAAAATGCCAAAGATAAAGACAAAGAGAGACTATAAAAAGCAGCAAGAGAAAAGTAATTAGTTACCTACAAGGGAGCACCCATAAGACTGTAAGCTGATTTCTCAATAGAAATTTTGTAGACCAGAAGGGATTGGCAAGAAATATTCAGTGACAAAAAGCCAGGATCTACAACCAAGATTACTCTACCCAGCAAAGCTATCTTTTAGAATGGAAGGACAGATAAAAGATTCCCAGATAAGAAAAAAAGCTAAGGAGTTCATCACCACCAAACCAGTAATACGTGAAATGTTAAAGGGTCTTCTTTAAGAAGAAAAAGAAAAGATAAAAATTGAATCTAAAAAACCAAAATAAACAGAACAGAAACAGACTCACAGATACAGAGAACATTTTGATGGTAGTGAATGGGGATGGGTGAAAAAGGTGAAGGGGTTGGGAAGTACAAATTGGTAGTTAGAGAATATTCACAGGGATGCAAAATACATCACAGGAAATACAGTCAACAATATTCTAATAATATGTATGGTGTCAGATGGGTACAAGATTTATCAGGATGATCACTTAGTAAGTTATATAATGCCCAATTTTGATTCAGTTGTACACCTGAAACTAATATAATATTGTATGTCAACTGTAATTGGAAAATAAAAAATGATTTCAAAAATTATCACAGCAAATACAGTGATGCATTTCACAGATCAGTTTCTTATAACCACCATCAATATAAAGTGACTCAACAATTCAAACATGCTAACAAAATAAACATAAATATTAGTAACTTCAATAATAACTCCATGAATGTGGTGCAAGGTTATACCTTTCTGAAGGTCTGGTTGGCTTAATTCAAGGAACAGTTGTCAGAATACAGAGAAAGGGAATATGAAAATGAGGTTCATGGAAAAAATTAGGGATTTAGGGTTTATAAATTCCTAAACATTTTGAATACATTTGTTTAATTTTCTATGGAAAAAATCCACAGCTTTCATCAAATCTAAAAAAAAAATCCCAAAACAAAACAAAAAACCTGAGATAGCAAAATAAAAAACTATTGAAAAGAAACAAATCAATGGTTTTTCCTTTATGTAATCTTCTATAAATACATACTACTTCTCTCAACCAGTTTTTTGCTCCATAAGGATATAGTGAGTTTGACACCATACCTCCTGAGCAGGGGTCCTCAAACTACGGCCCGCGGGCCACATGCAAATACAAATATTGTATTTGTTCCCGTTTTGCTTTTTTACTTCAAAATAAGGTATGTGCAGTGTGCATAGAAATTTGTTCATAGTTTTTTTTAAACTATAGTCTGGCCCTCCAATGGTCTGAGGGACAGTGAACTGGCCCCCTGCTTAAAAAGTTTGAGGACCCCTGCTTAAGAGTATAGTTATATTAGGTTATCTACTAAGTGCAGAGATGTGGGTTTAACAATTACTGGAAATGTGGCAGGGGGAGGATAGACTTGGCATTCTTTGTGAAACAAAAACAAAACAAACACATGATACTTAAGGTAACTTTACTCTCCCTCAGAAATGGCTGTGCCTAAGTTCGCCTTAGGTGATGTGGAGTTTTTAAGATTCTCCGAAAAAAAATTCTGGATCTAACTCTGAAATGAGGTGGGGAGATTAAAGCCCTAAATGAGATATTATGATGCTTTAAAAAAAGGTATTCCCAGTAGCACTTTAAGCATAATTCTGCTACATTTCTCACTCATAATATTTTCTAAAATGTTACTCTAGTGATTTCAGATTGCATTTCATTTAATGTTTGATTAAACATCATTTCCAACAGAAAAATTCTAAAGGTGTCTTAGAATACTGTTGACAACCTGTTATAATTTATCACTTACTCTGTCAACTGCCTTAATGACCAAGTAACCTTCTGGAAACATACACTGGCACCCTGGACCTCGTGATTCTAAATTCCCTTCCCTGAGGACAAAGTAGCCTGCAGTTCTCTGTCATGTAAAATACTGTAATTGAAACCACCTATTGCCCCACTATGCAATCCCTACTAATTTTATAGTATTTCTTTCAGTCTTTTTGTAGTACATTTTCCCCACATATACTCAGTTTTGTATCTAGTATTTTCCTCACATTTAACCTTGACTCCTCTCCCACAATAAAATTCACCTAAGCCTTATCACTAGGAATGACTATCTCATGTTACACTATGTAGAGGATATACCAAATTTTGCTAAACCATACCTTTGAACACTTTTTATGTTACAATCACTATGATCAAAGCTTTCTGCATAGCTTTGTAGGAAAAAAAAATGTTCACAAATGTGTGTACACTTACATGTATTCACACACCCATACAACATAACTGAATACATGCAAAAACTACATTAATATTTAATATCATCTGAATGAAAAATGCAAATGGAGCGGGAATTTCTCATTCAATTAAAAATTTATACCCATTGTCAGAGATGAGATAGTACTGACATCCATAGGAGGAAATACCTCCTTTAAGAAGGGTACATTGTAAAGTAAACAATCTGAGAAAAGTAATCAAGTCATCATATCTTGTCCTGTATCTTGGGAAATGATTCTCTGCATATGAACAGGGACTCAAACTACAAAACTATATTTGATTTCAAGTTTTAGGGGTTTAAAAAAATTAAAATATAATTCTATCCAAAGCAAAAGAAACAAAAAAAGGAGTTTTAAGGAAAGCCTCTGGTTTACTGCTGGTACCCTAAAACACACATATGCCTATATATCTGTGTTAAGAACACATTCCTATTTCCATGCAGATAGTTTTCAAGAAGTCATACTACCAACTCCAAGAAATGTATCTGTAGTGTACAATTCTACTAAGAAAAAAACTGAAAATGTGTAGGATAGGTAACTTAGTATAAATCATCAATATTACTATTATTAGTAACAGCAGCAAAAGCTTACATTTATTGAGTGCATACTGTGTCTAGAAACAAAATAATTTTTACAAAATCCTCTAGGAAAGTAGTATTATTATCTCAATTAACAGATGAGAAAACAGGATTAGAGATATTCAAGGTCAAACAGCTAGGATTCCATCTTAGAAATCTGTATCATACCACCTGTATTATAATGCCTCACTTCAAGTTAGCTACCTTGTCTCAATTTAGATATCTTCATTCAACTTTCCTTGCTTGCCCAAAGTAGATGCTTTGCAATATTCTCTTGAAGTTACTTTCCAAATTGCCCAACTTCAATCAGGAACACTTTTATATATATCAATTATTAAACTGATAAATTCTGGTTACTGATAACTATCTGGTTAGTGAAATAAACTTTAAATGAAAAAGAGTCAGGTTTAGTGTCTAAAGTACTAAGAAGTTCAAAAGGCTTATCCAAAACTACCCAAAAGCCAATTTGGCTTTCAAATAGTTTTGCTTAGTGATATTAATGTAATAATAAACCAAATCTCTGGCAGTTTTTAGGGTTTAATGTCCTTCAGGGTAGACAAAAAATATTTTGATATGAAGAGCTATCTATTGTATACTAATATATAAATGCCTAAGCGCCTGGAGCAACCCAAGCGACCAGAATGACTGGTAGCTATGACGCGCACTGACCACCAGACGCTCAACGCAGGAACTGCCCCCTGGTGGTCAGTGTGCTCCCATAGTGGGAGCGCTGCTCAGCTGACCGGGCGCCAGATGCAGGGCTCATGCAGGCGCAGCGGGCTGGGATGAGCTGGAGTGGCAGCCAAGAGCGACAGGCAGCACTGCACTGCTGGTTTTGGCCCAATCCCCACAGGCCATGCCAAGGGACCCCACCAGTGCATGAATCCGTGCACCAGGCCTCTAGTAAAACACACAAAGTTTACCTCCAGACTTCACCATCGTGCCATACCAAGCAGTCATATACAGGGCCAGGATCACTATATTTTTTCTCAAAAGAATTTAGCAATTCCACTTGACTTTGAAGCTCCTCTTTGATTAGTTTATTTACCTAATCAATGGGAAAATACATTAATATTAGTAATTTTGTACTCTTGAAAAGTTGTATTAACATATAACCACAGACATTGTGACCTAACAGTAGTTATTTTACCCTGGAAAATTTTAAGAAATTTTTCTTTTTATATCTATGCAACTTGTAGTTCAATTTAATGATGCAGGCATCAATTAATATATTAAACATTTAAAAAATAATACTTCTTTTACTCAATCTTTCATTCATTCACTTACTCCACCCACTTTGAGAAGGACACTATGTTTTATGTTGGTGATATCATTTGGCCAAAACATGTTTTCGTTACATATCCTTTATCTACATTACTCATTTTCAAAAGTAATTATAAAATTGCTATAAATAGGTTATCAACTTTTACATTTTTATATTGGGACTGTTTCCATTTAAAATCTGTTTCTTAAGAACCCAATAATAGGAACCATAAACTATCTTATCTCTTTTAGAATATACTACGTTAAGTATATACTATATACATTATCATGTACATATAAGCTATTTAACCATTTTGATCTACAATGAGAATTTCATATGCTTTGACCTAAGTATGTTTTAACTACAAACTACATTAGACTGCTGTACATTCACCTGAATGGTTCTAGTGAATAAAAATTTAATTTTTATAAATTCCAAAAATTTTAAGATATCTACACCCCTATGTTCATTGCAGCATTATTTACAACAGCCAAGATATGAAAGCAAATTAGGTATCCATCAATCAGTAACTGGATAAAAAAAGATGTGATAGATATATACAATGAACTATTACTCAGCAATAAAAAAGAATGAAATCCTGCCATTTGTGATAACATGAATGGGAAGGTATTATGCTCAGTGAACTAAGTCAGACAGAGAAAGACAAATACCAAAGGTTTCACTTATATATAGAATCTAAACACACAACACACACACACACACACACACACACACACAATATTCAAAACAGTATTTTTCATAATAGCCAAAAACTGAAAACAAAGAAAATAACAATATGTAGAATGGATATATACATTTGTGCTGTATCCAACAAATATCAAGGGAAGTGAACAAACTATTTCAACACCCCAAATATGGATGAATCTCACAAATATACTGCATGAGATCAGCTACACATGAAAGAATGCACACTGCATGATTCCAGTTTACAAATTTCAAAATAGGCAAAATGATTCAATAGTTTTAGAAGTTAAGCCCTGGCCGGTTTGGTTCAGTGTCGGCCTGCGAACTGAGGGGTCCCGGGTTCGATTCCAGTCAAGGGCACATGCCCGGGTTGTGGGCTCGATCCCCAGTGGGGGACTTGCAGGAGGCAGCTGATCCACCATGATTCTCTCTCATCACGGATTTTTCTATCTCTCTCTCCCTCTTCCTTCCTCTCTGAAATCAATAAAAATATATTTAAAAAAAAAAAAGAAGTTAGGATGGTGGTTGCCTTTAAGAAGGAACAAGAAAGCAATAACTAGGAAGAGGCATGAGATGCGATTGTGATAATTCATGAATACACACTTAGATTTAAGCACTTTACATGTTCTTATATGCTCAATAAGTTTTTAAAAATTAGTACATATGTGAACTGATTTCAGATAAACACTAAAGAAAAAATGAGTAAAACTAAACAACTTAAAACTTGTGGGAAAAAACAGTCTATTAATAATTCTCTAAGAACTGTATGGTACAGGGTCCTATAGTAATGTTTAAATAAAAATGACGAGCACCAACTTGAGAAGGGCAATTGTTGGCAACATCAAATTCTTCTTGTTTTCTACAAGCTTCTGCCAGGGCCATTCTGTGAACAGGGTCCCAGATTTTTTCCTTCCGTTCTTTCTGTAAATACAGAAAAATTACCTCCCAATGAGGTTGACAGATATTCAGGTAAACCTAGGCATTCATTCATATGTGGACCTAGTTATCAGCTGTGATGCTACATGATTCTCATAAGGAGGATAAAAAAAATCATTTATAATCAGGTTGATAAAGCAATGAATGGATTATTAAAAAATGATTTCATCCACTGCATCTAGGTTTTAAGAGAAGCTTATCAAGACACACCTAAATGTATTTTTATGCATTGTATGCCACAATTTAAATCCTTCAAAGAGTAAATAATACAATGTCAGATAACTGAATTCCCAGTCAATGAAAGTAAAAAAACAAACAAACCTGTATTTTGGGACCTTACAGAACTGAGAAATGTCTCAAGATAACTAGAAGCATAGGATCCAGGAGGAAGACTGCAGCTGTATTTTGATGGACATGCAGGCTTCCTTAATTTCCCCCCTCTCTGGCATATTAATTTCTGATCCTCTTTGACTTGATAGGTTTATTTTTTACTAAAATTCATCTTACCTTAATTTCCATGGTCTTTAACCCATGGTGCCTCCCAAAGGAAAAGTCCTTTCCAGTAAAATAAGCAACTTGACTGAGCTAAGGAGTGCGGGGTTCAGCTTTAACTTTATCACTCTATTTTTGTATGTTAATTTATACCTAATCAACACAGTTGATTAAATTTAATACAGTGCATAAAAACATTGTGCTGTATATGTGTACTTCAGCCTGAAATTTTAAAATAAAATAGTACCAAATAAAAGTTAGGTGCACTATTTTTGTAATAATGATTGGAATCTAGCAAGTATTGATTATTATAAATGTAATATATCTTCTTATGGCCCATAGACCCCTGGAGAAGCAGATAATGACATTATGATTAGATAAAAGGACGCAGAGGTCTTACCTTTCAGGCTCGTTTTCAAGGTTTACATCTCATTTTACAGTTGAAGCCCTGAACCCTGTCTACATCAGCAACTAGTATCATAGCCATCTTCTACAGTGGCACTGTCAAATACGGGAGCCACTAGCCACATGGTGCTTTTTAAACTGAAATTCTAAAATATTACATCAATTAAAATTTCAATTCCTTAGTCATACTAGTCACATTTCAAGTTCACAATAGCTACCTGTGGCTAGTGACTACCATAATGGACAGATACTGAACATTTTGAACATTTACATCATCACTGAAAGGTCTACTGAATAGTGCTGCTTTAAAGCAGGCTCCTTATCCCTCTATTCACAGCTCTACTTCTCTAATGACAGATTTGTGCTTCCTATACTGCAGCTGCTTTAGGTTTGAGTAACACTTCCTTAATACTAAATGATAACTAACTGGAATCAAGGCTAATCTATGGGAAAATAGGACAAATGGTCATAAAAGCTAAAAAGTATGGCTTTTAAATCAACTGTCTTTAATCGTTTTGAGGTTTAAAAAAAAAGTCTTTCAAAAATCCAATGAAAGCTATATGCCATTTCCCAGAAAAACACAAATGTACAAACATTGAATACAATTTCAGTGTATCGAGTTTCCCTAAGCTTATCCATGTGTTCAATATTAAGAACAGTGACTTTAATAGGTAAAATTCCATTGAACAGAATCTTTCTTTAAGAAGTCATTGTTTGAAAGTCTCTCATCATCCAAAATAATTAAAAGTTAGTGAGAATTAATAATTTTTTTCTTCAGTAGGAATAAAATTTGAGAAAGAAGATAAGTCAGTGATACTAGATTGAACATCACCTGTATCCTTTCCTTGAGAGCCTTTGGATAGAAGTCGTAGCCATTTTTTATGCCAATATGATATCTGCCTGAGGGATTTGTCCAGCTTGCAGGAATCTATAGAAAAAAAAGTAAATTATTGATGCACTAAATGCTTCCCAATTCCAACGACTTACTTACTGGAGAAAAATGTATTTCACTTCTATCCTAATGGCTCAACTTGGATGATTAGGCTCATATACTAGAGCACTATTTTTAATATTTTAAAGTGCCACTTAAATCTCTCTCTGGCTCCTTTTATCTCAGCCATAAATAAGATGGTTCAACTAGAATAGCCTTCATTTACACAATGCTTCATAGTTAATAAAGTGCTTTCAACATGTGCAACCTTATTAAACCACTAAGATCTTTAGTTCTTAAGTATCAATGACACCTCACCTCTCCCTTCATCATTCTATTACCCATCAAATAGTTGGGAGGGGAAGCAATTTACAGAACCTCTTAATCTTCGATTTCTCATTAATAACAAGAGCTTCATTGGGCTCTAAGATATAACAGATAATGTCTAGAAACTAAGTAAGAGCTCTTTGCGTTAGTAAGAAAAAAGTTCTATAAGATCATTTTAATTATATATAACACTAGAGGCCTGGTGCACAAAAATTCGTGCACTGGAGGGCGGTTCCCTCAGCCTGGCCTGCCCCCTGGGATCCCTCAGGGGATGTCCTAAGCCACAGTCTGGCCCCACTCTGTGGGAAGTGACCAGGAAGATCAGGAGAAGGTGCTGCCCCCATCATTCCGCTGCTACTGCCAAAGCCGGCCGCCGTTGCCAGGGCTACTGACCCTCAGCCCTGGCTTCTTAGCGCTGGCCCCGCCTCCTGCCCACTTGTGTGTGTGTGGGGGGAGCAACTGGGGCAAGGCTGGCTGGGGGAGGGGCTGTGGGAGGTTGAGGCACCTCGGTCACACCCTGTCCAGCCTCTGCGGAGGCTCCAGGACCGCAGGCCGCCCCACCTCTGCAGATGGAGGGGCCACGTGGCAGCGGGTGGGACCAGCCCGCCTCTCCCAGTGCCGCATCTGCAGATGGAGGGGCCACCCGGTGTGTGTGGGACTGGCCTGGGCCCTCGACACCGTTGCCTCTGTTGCACCACCCGGCCTTGGCCCTCGCAGCTGCTGTGGCTTTGTCTGGAAGACATCCGGTCTAATTAGCATATTACCCTTTTATTAGTATAGATTTTATAATAATCTTTTCAACTATCTCAAAGTATTTAAAAATAACATTAAAGCTTTTAACTAACAGAATGATGTAAGCAGTATGGCCAGTTTTACAAATGGAGAAAGCAAAGAAGCAAAAAGAAATTAAATTGCTTGCCCAAACGGAAAAGTAGGAAAGAAAACTGGAATATGGTTCTATTATGGAAACCAAAATATTCAGCATAAAATTCAGAGTATGCAATTTACAGTCATATAAACCTGGCTATGAATCCAACCTCTTAACTAGGTGGGAACCACAGGCTTCTAGCTCCTCATGTTTAAAAGGAAGAAAATAATCCCTACCTTATGATTCTCATGAATAACAAAATGCACTGAACATCAACCAAGTTGAAATGTCAATAAGGAAAATGCGGAGGATTCAGACTCTTTGTAATCATAGGACCTATAATCACTAAAACCAGCTTTTAAATGTGTATAAATTATGAGGTCAAATTCTCAACCACTCAGAGTTGGTTCACTCATCAATTCTCATTTATGCAATATCCTTAACCAACTCATCCCCACATCTCTCATCAAATTGTTCCCCAGATAAGAAAGTTTGGGATGAAATTTTCTCACAACTAAATAAGAAAAAAGAATCACTCACAAAAATTAAAAGATATACTGACCTTTTAAAAGCCTGCATATCAGTAATCATTTCTGAATGAATTGGACTGTCTGGATTATGAGACATTTCAACTATGTTGGCATATAAACTAGCACTTTTCATTCAAAACTGAACCTTCTTTAGACAATAGGAATTCTAAGCTCTAATGTTCTTGCAATAGCCGATGATGTAACAATAATAATAAAGTGTTGCAACAACAAAATGTTAAGTAATCACTAGTTGGCAAATTCAAAGAATATTTAATCACAGGCGTGTTACTACACAATGGACTTTGTAACCCTAAGTTAGTGGCAACTTCTTTTACTAAGAGATTACAAAAAGCCCTGAACTATCAAAGGATTTAATGCATGGGTGGGAGCCTTTTTTCTGCCACGGGCCATTTGGTTATTTAATAACATCATTCTTGGACCACACAAAATTATCAACCTAAAAATTAGCCTGCTAGCCAGGGTGATGTGGCTCAGTAGTTGAATGTCAACCTATGAACCAAAAGGTCACCAGTTCGATTCCAGGTCAGGGTACATGCCAGGATTGCAGGCTCTGTCCTCATTAGGGAGCATTCAGGAGGTAGCTGGTCGATGTGTCTCTCTCATCAATGTTTCTCTCTCTCTCTCTAGAAAAATCAATAAAAACATATTTTTAAAAAATTAACCTGCTGTATTTGGTCAAACATTTAATTAAATCACCCCTTAATGCAGCGGTTCTCAACCTATGGGTCATGACCCCTTTGGGGGTCAAACGACCCTTTTACAGGGGTGGCCTAAGACCGTCGGAAAACACATATTGAATATATAATTACATATTGTTTTTGTGATTAATCACTATGCTTTGTTTAATTTGTAACAATGAAAATACATCCTGCATATCAGATATTTACATTATGATTCATAACAGTAGCAAAATTACAGTTATAAAGTAGCAATGAAAATAATTTTATGGTTGGGGGTTACCACAACATGAGGAACTGTATTAAAGGGTCACGGCATTAAGAAGGTTGAGAACCACTGCCTTAATGCCTTGTCAGGGCCAGACCAAATGATTTCTTGGGCCTTATATGGAGCTCAGGCCAGATGTCCCCCACCCCTGATATTAGAATAAGTAATTACAAGAACTGTGAAATGAACAGCTGTTTATTTAATTACAATTATTTAAAATATATGTAATACAGCCCTGGCCAGTGTGGTTCAGGTGGTTGGAGCAACATCTTATGCACTGAAAGGTTGTGGGTTTGATTCCCCATCAGGGCACATACCTAGGTTTGATCCACAGTGAAGGCGCATATGGGAGGCAACCAATCGATGTTTCTCTCATCTCATCTTTCTGTCTCTCTTTCTCTCTCCCCCACCCTCTCTCTCTCTCTCCCCCACCCTCTCTCTCTCTCTCTCTCACACACACACACCCTTCTCCTCTCTCTAAAACCAGTAAAATATATCCTCTAGTGAGCATTAAAAAATTATATTTAATTTTAAAAAATAAAGTATATGTAATACAATAAAAATAATCTGATAGACATAACTTACATTTATTTTAAAAAACCAAAATCTGCATGTTCCCTGCAACCAGATACTTTTGTTCTTAAAAGCTTTCTTTTTTATTTTATTTTATTTTTTTTAAACCTCACTGGAAGATATGTTTACTGACTTTTAGAGAGAGGATGGGGGGGAGAGAGAGAAAGAAAAACAAACATTGATGTGAGAGAGAAACATTGGTTGCCTCTTGTATGTGCCCTGACCAGGAATCAAACACACAACCTTTTGGTGTATGGGATGAAGATGAAGCTACAACCAAATGAGCCACCCAGATAAGACAGCAACCAGATATTTTTCTTTCTTTTTTAAAAAAAAAATATTAAAAAAAAAAATATTTTATTGATTTTTTACAGAGAGGAAGGGAGAGGGATAAAGAGTTAGAAACATCGATGAGAGAGAAGCATGGATCAGCTGCCTCCTGCACAACCCCTACTGGGGATGTGCCTGCAACCAAGGTACATGCCCTTGACCGGAATCGAACCTTGGACCCTTGAGTCCGCAGGCTGACGCTCTATCCAGTGAGCCAAACCAGCCAGGGCCAGATATTTTTCTTTTCAAATCACTACTATGTACTTTCCTCATAGAATACTTTGCCACAAAAATTAAACTAAAAAAAAAAAATCAGAAATTATGGTTCTGCTATCTAACCTTAACCAAGTTAGAATAAAGCTAACCATTCTTTATGAGGCAATTATGGAAAACGTCATTTTACGTATTTGAGTATTCTTTACAAATGAAGACATTTTCAGTCTCTTTAAAAATCAAAACTTTATATTTTGACCATTTTAAGTTGGTATCTTTAAAATGGTTTTAAATACATGATCACTATAACATAATAAGACTGATTGTCACACAAGAAACAGAATCTCTTAAATTAGTCATTACATCTCTTCTCCCTGGGTCTTTTAAAGATGCCTAACAAAATGAACATTTTCTTATGAGTCAAGTGTCATCCTTAGTGTTAATGTTCCATGCAGTGAAATCCTATTAAAGAGGTATTTTTTGCCTCCAAACATCATCACTTTGGGTATTAGGACTTCAACATATGAATTTACAAACATTCAGTCTGTAACACATGAAAAAGGAAGCAAAATATTATTGCCTGCTGTCTGCCTGTGATAGGCAGATTCTAAAATCACCCATGCCCTTGTATAGTATTCTCCGCTTGGTGAAGGCAGGATCTATGAATATCACTCCTGTGATTATGTTATGGTAAGTAATATGGCAAAGATGAAGGATATTGCAGGTACAATTGTGGTCCCTAATCAAGTGACTGTGTTAATCAAAAGGGAGATTAGCTTTGTGGGTGTGACCTAATGGTGAGCTCTTTAAAAGAGAGACTGAGGCCATTCCTGAGGTCAGAGAGACTCTTCTGTTGGCCTTCAATAAGCAAGCTATCAGGACAAAATACATTGTGCTAACAACCATGTGAACTTAGAAGAGGAGTCTCAGATGAGGCCACTGTCCCCACCAACACTTGACTGCAGTCTTCTGAGACCATGAGCAAAGAGCCATGCCGGGACATCTGACCCATGGAAACAGTAAGATAAATGTAGGAATGTATATGATTTTAAGCTAATTTTTTGTTACTTTGTTATGCAGCACAGAAAACTAACCCATTGCCACAACAAACTTTTCCAGTAGATAATGCTCAAACATAATTCAGACAGATGGTAAAGAATGGAAAAAGTTAAACATAGCTCTTTACACACATAAATAACCACAAACTTATTTCCCAAACTAATTCTGCTTATTGGTTTAAAACAGGGGTCCTCAAACTACGGCCCGCGGGCCACATGCAAATACAAATATTGTATTTGTTCCCGTTTTGTTTTTTTACTTCAAAATAAGATATGTGCAGTGTGTATAGGAATTTGTTCATAGTCTTTTTTTAAACTATAGTCCGGCCCTCCAACGGTCTGAGGGACAGTGAACTGGCCCCCAGTTTAAAAAGTTTGAGGACCCCTGGTTTAAAAGATGAGTACTGAATAAAAATCAAATTCTTGCCATCTAACAAACTCATTAGCTAATGCTTCATGAACTGGTCTATGTTTGTTTTCTAATAATTTTTCATATTTTTTGCTTATTCCAGCCTGTCTACCAATTATAAGGAACTAAAAGCCTGGTGCACAAAATTCGTGCACAGTGGTGGGGATGGGGGGTCCCCTTGGTCCAGCCTGTGCCCTCTCACAGTCTGGGACCCCACAGAGGATGTCTGTCAACTTAGGCCCAATCCCTGGGGGAGCAGTCAGACATCCCTCTTGCAGTCCAGGGCTCTCGCAGTCCGGGACCCCTTGCTCCTTACCACCCGCCTGCAGCGGAGGTGGGAGAGGCTCCCACCACCATCACTGCACTCGCCAGCTGTGAGCCCAGGTTCTGGCTGAGTGGTGCTCCTGCTGTGGGAGTGCTCTGACCACCAGGAGGCAGCTCATGCATTGAGCGTCTGCCCCTTGGTGGTCAGTGCACGTCATAGCGACCAGTTGTTCCACCATTCCATCAGTTTGCATATTAGGGTTTTATTATATGGTTAGATAAAACAAAGCTAATCACTTAAGTCTATAATTATTAAAGCCTAAATATTTCATGTTCAAGTTCCCAGAAGGGCTAGGAAAAGATGAAGGCAAAACTGTCATCTGGTCACTTTTCCCATTTTTCTATTCAAAACTTGAAAGTTTAATAATCTGGCAATCACACTGGGAAACACACACACACACACACACACACACACACACACACACCCATTCTAAGCCTGCTATCAAACAACAAAACAATGACTTCCTCAAAGATGGTCCCTATCAACCCCCACCCTCCTGGTATTCATGCCATTGTAAAATCCCCTCCCCTTAAGTGTGTGCTGGAATTAATGACTCACTTCTAATGAAAAGAACATGGTCAAGTGTCACTTCCAAGATTAAGAACATGACAGAAATAATAGGATGTCACTTCTAAGATTGATTTATAAAAAGACCATGGCCTCCATCTTGGGGATTCTTTCTTGGGAGTCCTTCCCAGGGGGAAGAGAGCTACATGTTGTGAAGGAGACTCATGGAGAGGTCTAAGTAGCAAAGAATAAGTCTGCCAATGACCACTTGAGCAAGCTTGGAAACTGAATCCCTTCCCCAACAAAATGGAGCATTCAGATGAAACTGCAGCCCTGACCAACAACAAGCTCAGAAGAGATCTAGAATGAGAGGCACCCAGCTAAGTCACATCCAGATTCCTGACTCACAGACACTGAGATAACAAATATTTATTGTTATAATCATGAAGTTTTAGAGTAATTTGTTATACAGTAATAGCTATCTAATACTCACCATACCATCAAATATAAGCTAAAATTATTAGTTTGAGACAATACAAAAAATGAAAAGAAAAAAATCCATAAAAAGATAAAAGCTCCAACCTGAAGCACTCTTCCTGAGAGGCCAATAATTTCACCATCTTTTGGCTCTACTACTGTAGCAGTATTCACATCACCACTTCCTGTTGTGTCAATGATATCAACAAGCTTTGGTTTTCCATCAGATGTAACCTAAAAATTAAAGAGAATTAAAATATGAGTTATAGTTTTAAGTTTTTTTCCTTAAAACAACGTCAATCCTCGTGTGTGTGCGCGCGCATAGGTACACATATATAAAACATCCTATAAAAATCTGCATTTGTTATAAAAAGAACTGAATTGTTTTAAGCCAAAAGTCTGATAATACTAAAAAGAAAATTTACTCCTAGAAAACACCACAGAATCCTTCAAGTGGTTTCACATACTTGGTGAATAAATATATACTGAGCATTTACTATAGACCACACTCTGTTTTAGGGTTGGGAATATAATAATGATCAATACACAAAAATCCCTGACCTCACAGATCTTATATTAAACAGTCACTAAACAAGTAAAAAATATAACACATCAGTTGGTGATAACTACTATGGAGACAAGTTAAGCAGGAAAAGGGCACAGGAAGTATGGGAGTTTTTATTTCAATCAAGATGGTCAAAAAAGGTATCACTGAAGAGGTAACACTTGAAAAAAGATCTGAAGGTGAGCTTTGAGCTACACAAGCCCAAAACTTTAGGGGGAAAATGTTTAATAACATGTCATAATTGGATGCCATAATAAGCACTCAAACTTCATAAATATCCAAATTCAAACTTAACACTAAAACTTGTTTCTCACCAGGCTTTGCCATCTCAGGAAATCAACACACAAGCCAGAAACTTAAAAGTCCTTCTCTAGCTCTTTAGTTTATCCCCCACATCAAATCTGTCAGGAAGTCCTCTTAATTCTACTTCTAAAATATAATTCAAATCCACCCTCTTCTCTTGATTTTCACTATCAGTACCCTCCACTAACCATGCTTTCTTGCCTTCATACTAAAATGCCAGTGTCTCCCAGTGTCTTGGCCCCCACAGAAATTAATATCCAAACAAACTATATTATGCCAGTCCTCCACTGAACACCCTGCTATGGATTCACTGTGTGATCAATATAAAAAGCCTTTGCCATATGTGACCCTACAAGAGATCCCACCTCAGAGCAAAAGAGTCACACAGACTAAAAGTGAATGGGTAGAAAAGTATATTGCATGCAAATGGAAATGAAAAAAGCTGGGGTAACAATACTCCTATTTGACAAAATAAATTTCAAACTAAAAGCCATAAAAGAGACAAGGAAGGTCATTACATAATATTTAAAGATATCGATCCAACAAGAAAATATAACCTTTGTAAACATATATGCACCCAATATAGGTGCACCTAAATATATTTAATAATAATAATTTAAAACAACAACACCTCTTAGAAAACTTTAAGGGAGAGACTGACAGCAATACAGGTATAGTAGGGGACTTTAACACCCCACTCACAGCCACTGGATAGATCTCCCAGACGAAAAAGGTCAACTATAAGAATTAGAAAGAGAACAACAAAAGCCCAGAGTAAGTTGAAGGAAGGAAATATTAAATATCAGAGCAGAAAAAAATGACACAGAGGCTAAAAAAACACACAACAAAATATCAATAAAATAAAGAGTTCGTTATTTGAAAAGATAAACAAGATTGATGAACTGCTAGCCAGGCCCATCAAGAAACAAAGAGAGAGAACTCAAATAAAATCAGAAATGAAAGAGTTGAAGTAACAACTGACATCACAAAAATGCAAAGGATTGTAAGAAAATACTACAAACAACTATATGCCAATAATTTGAACAACCTGGGTAAAATGGACAAATTCCTAAAAATATAAAATCTTCCAAAACTCAATCAAGAAGACGCAGAAAACCTAAATAGACCTATTATAAGAACAAATGAAATTGAAGCAGTAATCAAAAAAACTCCCAGCAAACAAAAGTCCTTAAGTCTGTATGGCTTCACAGGTGAGTTTTACCAAACATTCAAATAAGAGGTAACACCTAGCCGCCTCAAACTATTCCAAAAATTCTAGAGGAGTGAAGACATCCAAGCTCTCTTTATGAGACCAGCATTATCCTAATTCCAAAACCAGATAAAGCTATCACAAAGAAAATTACAAGCCAATAACCCTGTCAAACATAGATGTGAAAATCCTCAACAAGTTATTACAAATCAGATCCAGCAATATATTAAAAAGCTCAGACACCATGACCAAGTGGGATTTATTCCAGGGAAGCAAGACTGTTACAATATATGCAAATCAATAAACGTGATTAATCACATAAACAAAATGAAGGATAAAAACACATGATGATTATCAATAGACACAGAAAAGCATTCAACAAAATCGAGCATCCATTTATTATAAAGACTTTCAGGAAAGTGGGAACAGAGGGATCATACCTTAACATAACTACTACTATGTATAACAAACTTACAGCCAACATTATATTCAATGGGAAAAAACTAAATGTGTTTCCCTAAAGAACAGGAACAAGACAGGGCTGTCTTCTTTCACCACTCTTATTCGCCATAGTACTGAAAGTCCTAGCCACAGCGATCAGACAAGAAAAAATAAAAGAAGCAACCAAACTGGAAAGGAGGAAGTAAACCTGTCATTATTCGAAGATGACATCTTATTGCACATAGAAAACCCTAAAGACTCCACCAAAACACCCCCAAATTTTTTAAAATATATTTTTATTGATTTCAGAGAGGAAGGGAGAAGGAGAGAGAGAGATAGAAACATCAATGATGACAGAATATTATCGACCACAGCCTCCTGCATACCCCCTACTAGGGAACAACAAACCCACAACCTGGGCATGTGCCCTTGACCGGAATCGAGCCCAGGACCCTTCAGTCCGCAGGCCGACGCTCTATACACTGAGCCAAATCAGCAAGGGCAACCCTGCTAAATTTAATAAATGAATTCCACAAAGTAGCAGGATATAAAATTAACATCCAGAAATGGATGGCATTTTTTATATACCACTCAAAAAGAGAAACTAAAAAAAAAATCTTATTTACCATTGCAACAAAAACCTAAGATATACTAGTAAACTTAACCTCAGAGATACAAAAATTTGTACTCAAAAAATTATAAGACATAGGAAAAAAATAGAGAAAGATACAAACAAGTAGAAACATATACCATATTCATAGATTGGAAGAATTAACATCATTAAAATGTCCATACTACCTAAAGCAATCTATAGATTTAATGTAATCCCAATTAAAATACAAAAGGCATATTTCACAGATTTAGAACAAATATTCCAAAAATGTATATGAAACCACAGAAGGCTGTGAATAGCCTCAGCAATCTTGAGGAAGAACAAAATGGGCGGGATCACAATATAAGTCAAACTATACTACAATGCCATTGTAATCAAAACAGCCTGGTACTGGCACAAAAACAGGCACATAGACCAACGAAACAGAACAGAGAACCCAGGAATCAGCCCAAGTCATTATGCCCAATTAATATTTGACAAAAGAGGCAAGAGCATACAATGGAGTAAGGATATGATATTCTCTTTAATAAATAAGGTTGAGAAAATTGGACAGGTACATGCAAAAATGAAACTAGACTATCAATTTGCATCACACACGAGAATAAACTCAAAATGGATAAAATATTTAAATTAAGTCACAAAAGCAAAAAATCCTAGAAGATAGGCGTCAAAATTTCAGATGTCTCACATAGCAGTATTTTCACTGATACATCTCCTAGGGCAAGAGAAACAAATAAACAAATGGGAATACATCACACTAAAATGCTTCTACAAAGCAAAATAAACCATCAACAAAATGAATAGGGAACCCACTTTATGGAAGAACATTATTTGCCAATGACAGATCTAATAAGGGGTTAATTTCCAAAATATGTAAAGAACTCATACAACTTAACAAAAGGAAAACAAAAAAATCCAACTAAAAGATGGGCAAGGGACCTAAATAGACACTTCTCCAAAGAGCCAGATGGCCAAGAGACATATGAAAAAATGCTCAAAGTTACTAATTATCAGAGATATGCAAATTAAAACTACAATGAGGTATCACCTGATAGAATGATTACTATCAAAAAACCAACAAACAAATGCTGGCCAGGATGTGGAGAAAAGGAAACCCTAGTACACTGCTGGTGGGAATGCAGACTGATGCAGCCACTGTGGAAACAGTATGGAGTTTCCTCAAATAATTAAAAATGGAACTGCAGTTTGACCAGCAATCCTACTTCTGGGAATATATCTTAAGAATCCTGAAACACCAATCAGAAAGAATGTATGCACGCCCCTGCAGTGTTATTTATAACTAGAGGCCCAGTGCACAATATTTGTGCACTGGGGGGGGGGGGGGGGAGGAGCCCTATGGGGAAGGGTCCCTCAGCCGGGCCTGCGCCCTCTCACAGTCCGGGACCCCTTGCTCCTTACTACTTGGCTCGCTGCTCCTTAGCGCTGCGGCAGAAACGGGATAAGCTCCTGCCACTGCAGCTGCGCTCACCAGCCGTGAGCCCTGCTTCTGGCTGAGCACACTGACCACCAGGGGGTAGCTCCTGCATTGAGCGTCTGAACCCTGGTGGTCAGTGCAGGTCATAGCAACTAGTTGTTCTGCTGGTAGTTCTGCCATTAGGCTTTTATTATATAGAATAATTAAGAAGTGGAAACAGCCCAAGTGCCCACCAGTAGATGAGTGGATAAAAAAGCTGTGGTACATTTACACAATGGAATACAGGGTGCTGAAAAGAAAGAAGGATTTCTTACCCTTTGTGACAGCCTGGATGGACTTGGAGATTATTATGCTAAATGAAATAAGACAAAGACAAAGAGCACATGATCTCACTTATTTGTAGAATCTAATGAACAAAATAAACTGACTAACAAAATAGGTCCAGAGGCATGGATGAATGGAACAGACTGACAGGCTCCAAAAGGATGGTGGTGGGAAGAAAGGGAAGAGATTAACCAAAGAACAGATATGCATATATGCATAGACAATGGACACAGACAATAAATAGTGTGGTAAAGACCTGGGGAGGGCAGAAGCTGGTTGGATGGGACAAAGGCCAGGCTAATGGGGAACATATGTAATACTCTGCAATACTATCAACCATAAAATAAAATAATAATAAAAAATAAATTTTAATTTTAAATGCTCTGTAGTTAAGGTATACCTGAAAGGAGAGGAAAAGTCACTAGGCACACATTTTTTCCTTATAAGGCAAAGCAAGGGAGTGGCTGGTGGACTCCAAATCTCACTCCAATCATGTTGCCATGGAAAACCAGGGGCTGATAGCTTTGTTAGGGGCTGCACAGCTGTGATTTTTATGTATGGTAGTTCTCAATCTAAATGTTTATTCCTTGGGAGCTGTCTATACACGTATTTTAATACAGTGGGGCCTTGACTTACGAGTTTAATTCGCTCAGTGACGGAGCTCGTAACTCAAATTACTCGTATGTCAAATCTTAAAGTGAACGAGTGAGAGTGAGACACGTGATGCTGGGCTGATGTTGTGGCGTTCACTGTGACGTTCGCTGCGCCAACTAGCGGCGGGGTATCTGAAGCTGGCTTGTAACCCGAATTTTAGCTCGCAACTCAAAGCAAAAAATCGGCCGAGAGACGGCTCGTATCTCGAAAAACTCGTTAGTCGGGACACTTGTAAGTCAAGGCCCCACTGTAGTACTAAGAATACAAATCACCTTTCTCATTTAATGAGTAAACAACTTGAGATCAAGTAATCACAAGAGATCACTAACAGTCAGACACAGATCCCTCTCATTAGAAACCTCATTATCAGCATGTAGGAAGAAAGCCTAATGCGATTTAATGGCTTAACACCTACTATTTTTTAAAAAACTTTACTTTATTTCAGAGAGGAAGCCAGAGGGAAAGAGAGACAGAAACATCAATGATGAGAGAGAATCATTGATTGGCTGCCTCCTGCACGTCCCCTACTGGGGATCAAGCCCACAACCTAGGCATGCCCCTGACCAGAAACAAACCTGGGACCCTTCAGTCCGCAGGCTGACACTGAGCCAAACCAGCTAGGGCAACACCTACTATTGACAGGGCTTTACTTACTAGGATCTCTCTCTCATTCAAAAATGTCTTATATATGCTATTTTCTATCCATGTACTTCTTACTTCACCATTAGACGAAAGCAACCACTGCACTGGAGATAGTAAGTCAAAAAAGGGAATTTAGAATTAGGAATGAGAAGTTTTAAAACAGCAAACCCGCTGAGAATTTTGCAATGGAGTTCTGGGAGAAGGAAAGAAGGAAATTGAACTTCTGACAGAACTATATCCCTCATCTTTCAGGAGAGGGAGCTGTCACAGGAGAAGGAGGGACTGAAGAAGACAGGGACAGTTATTTTGAGTAGAGCTAAAGTAATCAACCCCGTGTACTTTGGGTGGGAGACTGAGAAATGCTTACTGGCCCATCAAGCTCGCTGCACAAAACATAAAATGTCCAAAGGTTTTCCCCAAAAGTCAAGAATCTAAGTTCCTTTTTATCTCCACTGAAATAGTTATGGTAGAGGAATTGGTAAGGCTTGGGAAGCATCCATTAAACATTTGTAGAAGACCAAAACAAAAGGGGGGAAGGGCTCACAAATTATCACAAACAAAACAACATGAATGTATGAATATTTACTTGAAATTTCATGGAAGATACTGACAATATTGTCTTAAGCAAGGAAAGGTAGTTTATAAATAAATACTATTAAATGACTATCATTCTGAAAACGTAATGAACAAATCAGGCTTTGCTTTAGAAAAGCTTACAATCCAGTTAAAAAAACAGATGATTAAAGAGATAGCTGCTGTGTAGGACAATGAATAACAAAGGTAAAGACAGAATCTATAAAAGCATTTAAGAACACAAAACCCAGTTTGGGAGAATAAGGAAAGGTTAACTGAAGAAGAATAAAAATCAAAATGAATTATATAGCACCCATTAGTAACCAATTATATATAATGATATTTTTATTATATTTTAGTAAATAAAAATAGAAAGACTTTTTTAGGACCACATGCAACCTCTTTCCCCATTTTATCTCCATGATACATTTTATCCATTCAGCAAAAATAGTCAATGCCACACATGTGATTCTGAATAAAATTAGACATATGCTTTCGGGGAATTTTAACATAACCAGGAAAAAGGTATGTAAACAGAATAAACACTGAAATGAAACATCCTCAGTGCCATATGGGTATATGAACAAATTGCTATGATTTGATTTTTATAGAGAGAGGAAAAGAGAGGGAGAGGGAAAAACATTGATGTGAGAGTGAAACACTGATCAGCTACCTCCTGAATGTCGCTGCACACATGTGCAGGACCAGGATCCAACTGGCAACCTTTTGGTACACAGGACTACACTCAACCAACTGAGCCACACCAGCTGGGCCATTACATGGAAATATCTAATGCATATTTACCTTCCAGATAGTTGGGTGATTTAAGACCCAGTATAAACTCCTTTAACTAAATATCCTCGCTTAAAAAAAGTAGTGTTTAACACTTGAGCACTTTAAAAAGTCACATGTAATTAACCTCAATCAACTTCATAGTGACACTGGGGGATGAGAATTGCTGTTACTGTACAGAAAGTAATGCAATAATTTGGTAAGCAGGCATGGGAAATTCTACTGAAGTAATTTTACTGAGATGGTACTCATCTAAACTCATCTGACCCTGTTGTTATCCTGACAAAGAACCAGTGAACCATTTACTCCACTGTACTTTTCCCACTTACCCCTATAAAAAGTATACATATTGCCCTGGCGGGTGTGGCTCAGTTGGTTGGAAGAGTCCTCTCCTACACCAAAAAGGTGGCCAGTTCCATTCCAGGTCAGGGCACACACCCAGGTTTCCGGTTGGATCCCCGGGCAGGTACATGGGGGAGGCAATCAATCAATGTTTTCTCACACTGATGTTTCTCTCTCTCTCTCTCTCCCTCCCTCCCTTCCTCTAAAAAAACAATAAAGAAAAAAGGTAAACATACTATACCACAACAGAATGGAGACCATTACTGCTCGGTAATAAAGCTTCAATGAGGTTAGAGCTGTCATTGTTATACTAGAACAACTAATTGTACCACTAGGGCTACCAGGAGGGGGCTCAGTACCTGCTCTTCTGATTCACCAAGCTGCCCGGTTTGGTTTGTGTTATTCTCCAGAGTGCTGCTGAAGAATTAACAGGAGGAACCAGAGGTTCCCTTTTCACCCCGGATTACATCCTAGCCTCCAAAACGCTACCTCAATTATTAGAAAGCACAGTCCAGGGGAGGGAGAGGCATGGGAGGAAGAAGAGAATTATTTAATTTCAGCGTTTAGTGTAGAAAGGAGGGTTAAGAAACACAAATGAAGAACTGAAATACAGGAGAGATCAGCACACACTAGGATTATCCAGGTTAGACTTTCAGGGAGATGGATCTTGAACAAGATCAGTGAAATTGTTTACTACTGGATTTCAGTAACAGGCTAAGACTAAATTTACATAAGTCAAACTTTGGAAACTTTAAGCAGAATACGTTTAATCCAGAGACACATCCTTTAAAATTACCTTTCAGGATGGCACCCTGGTCTCACGATTATAAAGCTGCCTAAGGCAAAACTAAGTCATGGTTAAGTTTTTATGGAAGTATGCTGTCTTATATTTGGAGGTTAAAAATATACCTAAGTATAATTTAATCAAGTCTGAAGTTCTCCAAAACCAAACTAAATTAAAAGTTGTTCTTATGTCAAATAAAGACTAAGTAAGCCATGCGTCTCGGTGACCCTAAACCAGTGGGTTGCAGAAGACGGGTTAAAATAGAATACAGAAAAGTACCAGAGGAAACAATTCCGGAAGTTGACCGCATTATCTCCGTGAAACCCGGCTTTCGTGTTTCAAGATAAACAATTCTTACCAAAACCAACCTCCCAAACTCAGGAATAAAAATTGAGTTCTGGTAGGTCATTTGCCCCCTTTCTTCTCCCCACCCCCTCAACATATAACAAGAATTGTAAAAACCCTCATTTGAAAAGAGACACTGGCCGGCGCCCGGGGCACGAGGGACCTGCGGAGGGAGGGAGAGTGATGGGCGGGGGCCCGAGGGCCCGGGCCTGGCAGCACCTGGGCAGGAAGGGGCTTCCCGGGGCCAAGGCGGCCCCGGGCACCCGACCGGCCGCGCCGCTTTTGTCTGGGCC